CGATGTCGTACTGACCTCAGTCGGTTTACTGACAAATATCTATTCAAATCAGATGATGACGAACTTCCTAAGTCATCCCTTGATGAAACGCTCAATGGCAAGCACACTTGACTGTGTTGCCTTCACGGTTGCAAGATATTCATTATCCAGCAACAAACCTGAAATATCTTTTTACCTGTGTGAGCTGATGTATTACAAAATAAAAACGTGTATAACTAATTACTAGTTTTAGGACTGTTTAAAATTGTAAATAATATTGTAAAATGTGTGAAAATATAGACAATGCTTTCGGATTTAAGTGTTTATAATGGACTTGTGTATATGTGTGAACAGGATCTTGTGGCTATATGACTGAAATGTAGCTGATAAGAAATTTTAACTCCCTCCTTCATACCACAATTACGTTGCATGTTATCAATATAAACAGGTTTCAGAAACATATGTTCAGCATTAGCGGTGAACAGAGAATATCAATAATCGTCGTTGCCTGACTATGGTATTCCAAAATACTCATTAATCATGAATGCTGATTTTGCAAATTTCCAACTATGTTTGACAATATTATCATTTATTGATATATAATTAATCAAAAAACCTGTTACGTGTTATTTCCCAATTTGAAACAATAAGGTAACTGGAAATCAATCATTTAGAGAATTCGCACTATTCACAACAATAATCCAACTACATTTAACAACAATCATTAAATATCGACCAAACCAATGACCGAGGCACACTGTTAGATTACAATTGTGAAGAATATGTTTACTTACATTGCCAGTTTGACACATTTTTAGCTATGATGCCCATGAACACTGTCTAACTGATCCCCAGTCGACAGCTGCAGAGAAACAGCCAATACCTCTGTTCCCTTGTCAGATCAGGTGTTAAATTTGTAAAACTGCCCATGATGGAGTTCTTGTTTGTCATTAATCACAGGTCGATGCATTTTGGCAGACACAGAACCTTTTATTGTAGAGAATAGGATACTACGAAATCTAACTGTACCACGTTTGTAGCATAATATCTCTTTTTCTGTTCAAATTTTGAGTTTTTTCGTTACTTTGATTATATGTTTCTACATTTTTCCGTTCCATTACTTCTTATCCCCGGCATATAATTTGGGGAAAGTAATAGTCAACGCCTCGTGTATCCATCCGACCGTCGGTCCGTAATCTTTTCCGGACCATAACTCAGACACCGTTCCATATTTTGTAACAGACATTACTACATGCATGTATATTGTTTCCCGACACTTTTGAAAAAGACATCACCCATTGTAATTCGGGGTTCCCAGCAAAATCTGCTGGTCGAAGGAGGCCATTAAAATCGGATTGGCAGTAACTTGGAGAACCAACCACACAGTAATGCTTCTATTCAATTTTGAAAGCATGTGATATTCCAAGTGACAATCAATGGATCGTCTGGTCCAGACATAATAGTTGACATGTTTGTTATGCAGGATTTCCCACGGGAAATCACTGTCTGTGCTGCATATAGAGACATTCTAGATTGAGCCACCATCAAAGACAATCCTTTTTCACGTTTTTGTCGAAAATATACGAAGGACAATAGTTACGTTGCCCAAAATGCCCAAACAAGTTAAATACTCCGTGAACATCCGTTTTAAAAGTGTTCTTCAGCAACCCATGCTTGCCAAAGAGGCGCCTACCGGGACCGGGTGGTCAGGCTCGCTGACTTGGTTGGCAATTGTCATCATATCCCAAATGGCGTAGATAGATGCTCATGTTGCTGATCACTGGATTGTGTGGTCCAGACTTGAGTACTTACTGACCGCCGCAATATAGTTGGAATATTGCTGAGTGCGACGTTACACTATCAACCAACCAATCGGACAATCGGTAACTATTCGGCTGTCTCAGTAATCTGTTCATTTCCCCTGTATTTTGGTTGGTATTTCATATTTGCTAGTATACCAAGTCGTACATGTAAGTAGTTAAACATAGACAGCACGAATGTGTATATTTAGAGAAAAAGAAGTGCCCTGCATGTCCTACTGCAAACATTTAGCTCTGGAGTCTCAAATAAACGACGAGAGGACGCTATGGTCGACAGTTGGCTGCCTATAAAACAGGTAACATATGTTCATATGATTGAACTTGATGAAATGAGAACATCGTTTATCAATAACAGCATTTTGCAGTCATGTATAAACAACATATCAGTCATGGTTTATCATCAAAACACGTTAATTGACTACCTGTTTGCAAAAATTAACCAATTTTTCCTCTTCAATTAACAAGTAATTATTGTTATGTTAAAGCTATTTTATTTGGACTTTTGTGGTTGGATAATTACTTTTGCCCGATATTTAAGAGTTTGTTCAGTTTGGAAGTTAGTTATGGTTTAATTTCATGCTGTATAGCGCTGCTCACAGCAAACTTCCAGCTCTTTGTAAATAAAAGAGTCCATCCGTGAAGACCCAACTCAGAAATGGTCAGAAATGGACAAACGGCATTGGGTGGTCAGACTCGTTGACTTGCGTAAATCAAAATTGCGTTAATCGATGCGCATGTCAACCACTTTCTGCTTTGATCGCTGGTTGTTTAACGCCATAATCAGCAATTTTCCATCTGCAGACAAAAACACATGAATTTTAAACTTGCCGATACGAATTTGATGTCTTATGTACTGAACATCATGGAAAGCGCACCAGTCTAAAATTGTCCATATTTTCATCAAGATGGATTTCAGCATGACAATGATCAATGAATATAACTAACATGAAGTCGAAGGGCATGTCCAGTTGAAGAAATGCTTTAGAAACAAATTCCTGTCCACAGTATGACTCTTAATTCTAAAATGCACAACCTGCAGCCACTCCATGAAAAAAGTGCGAATTTAATTCTGAAATCATACTGACTTTGACATTAAAAGCAGGTGTATGAGAACCGATTGTGAAACGAGGACAGAGATGCCGAGGTTAACACCTCACGAAAGAGAACGTGCACTAGGCATGATTCAGGTTGGCACCAGCAGCAAGGATATTGCTCAAAAACTTGGACTTGGCCACTCCACCATCGTTAGGCTTCATAGACGACATCAGTAGACAGGCAGCACCCGTGACCTGCAATGACCTTGGCAACAACGTGCTACGACGCTTCATCAGGATCCCAATATTGGCCTTGTCCATATTAGTGATTGAACACTGCCGATTGCCAGGACTGCTGCACTAGTTCAAGGATGACGTGGGGGTCATCAGCGCTGACTCGCGATGCGACGCCGTCTACAACGTCCTTACAGGACCAATTCCATGCTCGTCATTTTCAGCGCTGGACCAATTCTGACTGACAGATACCGTAATGAAGCGTATGCCAATGGGCTGGTTCAGAAGCCTTTGGGTTTTCAGTAAAGGTTGGGTTGGAAAAAATGGCACAGGTGTGTCTTAAATCACCACCAAGATGTCGATACGTTTCAACTTCAGAGGACAACGCACGGGCTTAAACACACAACAAGACTTTCAATGCAGTATCTGATCCAGCAACACATCCAGGTTATTCATTGGCCAGCACAGTCGCCAGATGTATCCCCCCATGGAGGACTTGTGGGACGAAATTGGTCAAAGTCTTTCGCGGCGGTAACAGATGCGAAACATCCGGGAACTTGAGGCTGCACTACTGCAGAAGTGGAATGCCATCCTCAAGAACTCTATTCGGACGCTTATTGACTCAATGAGGAGACTTTGAACTGCATGTGTCAATGCAAATGGCGGTCACACGCGATATTGACATTTCCATTTGACCCCACGTGTGTTTGATCCTTTCTGACTGTGGAACATTTCAATGAATGAGCGTCTTTTCTGTGTTGTTGTTTTTGTCAGTCGTCCATCTGTTATTATCCACTCAAAAAATATCAATTCCTTACACGTGCTTTTAATAATCTGAACGTTTATAAGTAGTGCGTTTTCAATGATGTTCAGTATATTTAGGTTATATTGAGACCATACCCCCAATTGTACGTCAGATTTTAGGATGGTTGCAACCAATAGCGGAAGTACTCGTCATCTGCCTCCTCAACTCTTCTCAAACTGAATATTTTGCAGTCACAGAGGCAAAGTACCTGGTGTAGCCTCCCCTCGCACGGTTAACATTTGACAGTCTCCTCCTCTATCAAGCGTCGAACTCAGTATCAGAATCTTCTGCCATACGTCACTGAATGCCGGGGCGGCGGGGTAGCCCAGTGGTTAAAGCGTTCGGTTCATCACATGAGCACAATGTATAAAGCCCATTCTGGTGTCCCCCGCCGTGATGTTGCTGGAATATTGCCAAAAGCGGCGTGAAACCACACTTACTCACTCACTCACACACAGTGTTATGGTTACCTACTAGGTTTTTGCCGAATGAAAATAATGTCAGTTAACTCCAGAAATGAGAAATTTAATTTGTTCTTGCATTGACTTACTCATATTAAATATGGTATGATTTGTATTTTTCATTTCACTCGGCAATATTCCGTCGGTCAGTTGACCTCCTGAGCATCGATCTACGCCATTGTGATACGATGACAAGATGTTCTATCCCTGATCATCACGGCAGCGTGTGAAATAGTTTCCTAAATTTGCTAGTCAGTTGGGCTAGCTATGCCACAAACTAATTCACTAGCCCGAAATTTGAATGTAGAAACAAAGCAAACGATTACAAAAATAGATGAGAATAAGATAGTGTTGGCATGACACGGGTTTCATCATTAAGCTGCTAACATAATGAACAAATTTATCAGTCCATAATCTTGGATGATCTAAAGGTGAATTATAACTTAACAAGTCGGAGAGAGTGATATATTTTCAAAATGACCCCATGAAAATTCACTTGCCAGTCGGGCCAGTGACTGTGGGCTTTTACTGGCCCGACGGGATTTTTACTAGCCACGGGTTAGCGGGCCAGTGGCTATTTCGCGCAGCCTCAATTATAAAAATTACATGCTTGACAAGACAACAGCGTCAGGTAAACGGTCATGATTCAGGTAAGTATAACATAACAGGTGTTAATCAACAGGACATAGGAGATAAGATTACCCTGGCCTACTCCTTGCCGTGAATTCCGAATAGAGAAGGCTTTCAAAATGTCTTCCTTTTTAATTGTTACAGTCCTTCTTGTTGGCGTCTCATGGTAAGTTATTAAATGCCTGCGTGTTTATATATTTGAGTTTTAAATCTTTTGCTCCTAACTGCAAATGTTTGAAAAGCCTCCTCCCGAGATATAGCCATAAGACAAAACTGGCATTTCAATATGGTTACCGGGGGCCCCCAGCGGTGAGGTAGCCTAGTGGTTAAAGCGTTCGCTCCTCACGCCGAAGACCCGGGTTCGATGCCCCACATTGGTACAATGTGTGAAGCCCACGTTTGGTGTCCCCGGCCGTGAAATTTTCGGAATATGGCTAAAATTCAAATCACTCAATACGGTTACCAGGTCTTGCAAGTTAGCCATAATGTAGACATGGACATCTAGTAAATGTGTAAAATATTTATTGGAAAACGCCCGGATATTGCAATCTTCAATTTATAGGCATATAAAACGTGCCTATGCAGTTATTGATAATGAAACGACTAACACATTCCCCTTCCCACACTGAATGATGATCATAACATCAACCACCACCCTCGGGAATTCGGGGTAAGAATGCATGTCATTGCTTGACAGGTATGCCAACATCGTCGGCGACATAGTCGTTGATGTCTTTGAATCGTATCCAAATTGCGTAGGTCGATGCTCATGCTGTTGATCACTGGATTGTCTGGCCCTGTCTCGATTATTTACAGACCGCCGCCATGTAGCTGGAATAGTGCTGAGTGCGGCGTAAAAACTAAAGTCACTGACTCACTTTGAATGTACATCTCAGCCTTATTCCTTAGTTAGTTCTTCCGAAACCTGGTTACATAACATAAAACTTTGTATGCTGAGATGTCCGTCTACTTCGCATTGTTTGCTTGCGACATTAAAATCCCGATGTGGTTCATTTCCGAAATGGCTCTTAATTGCCTACGTGAGCTCAGTTTAGCCTAAAATAATACCTTTCAGTTTTTAACGAATCCAAGTTTTGCTTTGAAAACAAACAGTGACCTTATTTTCACAATGAGCCTGCATTTACGTTAAAAACATACCCAGAGGAAAAATAATCCACGATCATCAAAACGTACTAGTTCATCTCTAGACCGATCTGTACTAGTCAAAACATTGATTACACAACAGTCTCGTTTCCTGCTGGCTGAGTTCCGTCCTATTGCGCAGGCTAGCACAATAACCAGTCCAGAATTTTGAAACAAATTCATTCAACTGGATACATAAATATTAATCAGTATTATTTGATACATCTAAGCACTTGTATATTGCAACACTACGCTCCTTTTAATCCTTGCAAACATGTTGTGCAGCGTGCTCTGACAAACGGAAATTTGGAAATCGTGGAAATCTCAAACGAGGCTCTACCGCTAGAAAAGTTTGGCGGTCTGGTACGGACTTGATATTTCATTAATCACATTGTGCGTTACAAAACTACATGAAATGAACGCAAGAAACACATAACAGGTGTAACCAGTGAGCCAGATGAATTGTGAATCATTTTACGACCTCATCAAACAGGGGCAGTCTGTGACGTCTTAGTTAAGATCATGCTGCCTACACCTCGCCATAAAATATAGAAATACGATCTTATTAAAGAATAAAATTAAAATTTATTTATAAATACCATTTTCTTATGAAACAAAAAATTTAAATTTAGTGTAACCATAGTTGTTTGTGGTGTCTCTTTCACTTTCACACGAGAAAATTCGGATCGGCTGAAAAGTAGGTCATTGTCTGAATAGGTTAATGAGACTTATGTTTCGGTTTGAACAAGTTTAATAGCAGGATATTTATCCATTTTGGAATAATGCAACAAATAACAGGTTTCAACAAGAAATATTAAGAGGTTTTTGAGTTTTGCTCGATCGTAGCAAAGACAGGGACGGACATGTTGATTGGTATTATATATTGTGCTGCTGAGATGTTATTTCTAATTATCCAGCCAACACCATAATCACAACAGCCATGAAATCTACACTAACGTAATTGGAGATGTCTGGCTGAGCTCGGATGCTAATGGCGACGGCATCTTTGAAAGATATGAGTTGACCGGTGTCTTTGCTCACTACGATGACAATGGTAAGACTGGGATAGGTGTCTGTGTTTAAGAGTTGGAGTGTCTTTGGTCTAAGACTGCTAGTTGGTGTCATGGTGTCCTTGGGAAGAACGGGAGCGGGTGTCAGTGTGTCTTTGGTCTAAGAGTGGATGTCAGGGAAATAGGAAACAATTTCACGTAAATGTGTGTGTATGCGTGCTTGCGTGTTTGTGTTTGTGTTTGTGTGTGTGCGTGTGCGTGTTTTCCGCTTCATGTGATAGTACTAACTGAGACCAAACTTTCCCCGCCCCCAATAAGTGACCAGCCCGCGCATGTGATATGTTGTTGAGTTAGTGGTACTTTGCTCTTAATGACAATCACTGGATAGTCTGTCCCGACTGCGGAAAAAATCAACATGTGTCTTTTTTAAAATATAACTGGAAAAAATAGGTTGTGATAGGTTTAAGAAAACAACATACAGTATTTCATAGGATAATGTTCCTTTAGACAAACAAAAAATATGAAAAATATATCCCCTTCTCACAAGAGCATTAATGGGTCTGTCCGTAGTGTAATATTCAGTATTTGTCACCAGGTGATCACATTATCACCCACCACGAATACATGGACTCCGTCCCCTCTCACTCCCCTCTCAAGGAGTACACCCATGCTGTCTTCAAGGAGTTCGACGCTAACGACGACAACAGACATCGATACTGGACCCACGGTAAGAAATACGGACATCGATATCGTCTTTCTTTTAAAAATGGATCTCGACGGTAAGAAATACGTTAATGGTTTCAGCGTGACGAGCGAACACACGTCGACTATGATGAATATGGTTTAATTTATTTATATCATGCAGAAAATATTTCCCCCATTTGATACTGGCGTCCGTCATTACATTAATCACTAATTGGTCCAGCTCAAATTGAATTATTAACAGACCACTGAGATATAGTCGGAATACAGCTTTGGATTACAGATCCCCCAAACCGATGAAACAAGATCTTTTGCCGGAGATTGTTCGCCCTGATTTTGTCACAGGCGATTGTGTCGTCTAGGTTTCCCAAGGTGATGGGACAAACTAGGTTTATAGAGTAACAAACATATAGAGTCAAAAGCCCCATAGTCTCGACCTGAACATTCCCACAAACCAAAGTAACTGAAACCGTTTGTAGCGTCCAGAATATGTCATTTCAATGTTCGTTTTACATTTTTTTAGATAACAAAGAAGTCTCAAAGACGGAATTTACAGCCTTTTGGATGGACGTAAGTGTACATAGCTTGTTAGATTAGTAACAGTGCGTGTCTATAACCAGCTGAAATATGTATCTTTTTGTTTCGTAGGCTCCCGTTTTCTTGCCAGAACCCCCGTAGAGATCATGAGTTTGAATATGACCCCAGCAACCAAGGCATGTCTAACAATGCGGATTAAAGAGGGTGGTCAGTCTGGGTGGCTTCCTTCCTTGCGTGTTATTGTATCCCGATCATTGCCGAGTTCGATGTTAAACCAAAATAAAAAATCGTTGCTGATAATATCCATCATTGGTTGGCCGGTCAGTACATGCAGGCTGATGTCATATTTCGTGACGTTTAAGTTTGCTTGGTTGTTGTTTTACGCCGCACTCAGCAATATTTCAGCTATATGGCGGCGGTCTGTAAATAATCGAGTCTTGACCAGACAATCCAGTGATCAACATAATGAGCATCTATCTACGTAATTTGGGATACGATGACGTGTCAGCCAAGTTAAAAGCAAGCCTGGCTGACCCGATCCCGTTAGTCGCTCTTGCATGAGTCCCTGAAAACCAATTCTTACCAGGATCATCATGGGGTTCATTGTGTTTAAGAACAAACATCCTGCAAAACTACAAACACGCCAGAAATTGATCGCATCAGTGTAATACCACCTCCCCGTTGTTATGTAAACCCCTTGAGAAGGATTAGTGATGGTTGTCACAGCAACGATTCTCAGCTACTTAAAAAACTAACAAAATTACTGCGATAAGATAAGACTCAGAAAGACTCCCCGAAGGTGTAGATGGCTGCTCATTGCATCAATCACTAGATTGTCTAATCCAGAATCGATTATTTATAATCCAGACATGGACAGATGAGTTCACCGACATACATATATATAGAAATGATCAGGTATTTTGATATTGCTTTTCAGATTTTGACGAAGACAGCTCACCTTCACGGCCACGGCCTCCACTTGGGTCACCATCACTAGATCACGTGATCACTTGCAGTAATAACTGCTCAACGGAATCATTCAATAAAATATAGCAACAACGTTACATGTTTGTTTGCCGCACTCAGAGTGAGTGAGTGAGTTTGATTTTTAGCAATATTTCAAAAATATCAGAAATGGGCTTCACACAATGCACCAATGTTGAATTGGGAATCGAACCTGGGTCTTCGGCCTGACGAGCGAACGCTTTAACCACTAGACTACCCCACCGCCCCTTAGCGCACTGTGCAATTTTCAAGTTTTATAAGGACAGTCTCGAAATAATCAGGGGCGTGAAGGTCCCGGTTAAAATTGATCTTAACACGTTTGTCGTAAAAGGCGACTAACGGAATCGGGTGGTCAGGCACGTCGGTGCACGTCATCGTATCCAAATTTCAAAGATCGGTGCACATGAAGTCAGTCACTGGATTGTCTGGTCCATACCGCATTGATAACATATAAAACAACAAACAGACATGATGCAGTTTGATATTTTTAGGAAATATTGCTTGATCTCACCCATGTGATATTTCCTCTAAAACGCAAATTTTAGCAATACTTCAAGAAATATTACAGGGTTACACATGTCATCACACATTGTACACCAAGTGTGGAATAGAACTCAGGTTTTCAGCTTGATGGGCGAACGCTTTACCTACTAAGCTACCCCAATGCCCTTGTTCTATTAATGTAAACCTAATAATTGTATACTACCCATCCAAAGTTTAGACTCGCTTAAAGCACTCACTATATGTTATATATGTATATGTGTGTGTGTGTGTGTGTGTGTGTGTACATATATATACACACGGTTACATCGAAGATGAATTTCTCCACTAACTTCGGGGAACCAACTGCACACCTTATGCAGATGAATTGCACGAGGATTATGCATCAAATATCTGAAAAGCTAGTGGAAATAACGTGCAAGTGAACAGCTGAGTTTTGGTGTAAAGGTTTGATAAGAATTCGCCAATTTTCACTGAATTTCATCATTTATTGAACTCGTGACAACAATCTTTTCAACGTTACGTATTTTTTTTACGATACATCAATTCATGTGTAAACATTACCTTTAAACATAATGGAATATTTTGCAAAGTTTAGATCAGAACAGTTGACTGAAGTATACATTTACAAACTTTTGATAGGTAGTATATGACTGGTTGGCGCTTTGCGCATAATTTGTGCTTAGAGCCACTGTACATGTTTTAGCTGGACATACCAGCGGCTTGACCATGCACTAGTTGCGTGGATATGTGCGCTATATAAATATCCTATAATAATAATAATAATAAGGCGATTTGCTAGATAATCTCTCGAAGGAAACCGAAGGATAGTCCAGACTCAATCATGTGCGTAACTTATTTATATTGACAGACAGGGGACGCAACTCCAGGCAACCGGTTACGTAGTCCAGGAACACACGCCCCCGCGTCCACACGAGTCATAGATATCTAGCAGAAAGTATTCTTACAGTGTTCCATCTTATCAGCATTTTATAAAGACGGCGCACCTGCATGAAACGGACAATATGACCTTGACCTAGTAGCAGTAGAGAATGTCACTCTTAATCGCTGCATGAATAGGTACGTAGATAATATCTTTAAAAAAGAAAACCCTACTTGCGGTTTCTTTATAGGTCCTACAAATTATGGTTTACACTATTACTTATTCTGACCCAAAACAAGTAAGGAATTTTGGAACACGTAAAATATAGCTGAAGCATCTTTTGCAACGGTGCAAAATTATGAAGACAATGTTGAAGAGGGCTCTACAACAGACAAAATCTGAAACAAATGTTTTGAATCATGTACTAGGAAAATCAACCAACAGATATAGTTACATATACTGTGCCTCCCCTCTATTCCAGCACTATCATGGTGTGGAAAGTACATTGTCTCCATGTGGGGAACCAGGTCTTCGGTTTGAAGAGCGAACGCTTTAACCACCAGGCTACTACACCACCTCCTGTGTAAGAATACGTGATGCGCATGAAGTCAATCACTGAATTGTCTTGCTTTTCGATGATTTCAAGACAATATATATATTCAAGGACTAGTGGAGACCCCTAAAGACTCATTAATTAGCCATTCAGCGGTGGGGCTTTGAATTCCCTGTATGAGAGCACAAAACATTTAAACCATGTCTGATTTCCGTATCTTCGAAACGAACTAGAACGACACGTATAGCCTGAGAAGTAAGACGAATCTGATCAAATGCTCTCATTATGATGAGATTTTCCACAAAGAAATTTATGCAACACCTACAGGAACAAGAATCACACTGGATTAAATATTGGACTAATACGTGTTCACCTGAACATGTGTTGGTGTAATTAGTTTGCATTTAAATGGCAACTGCAAATAGGTTTTCTTTAAAAGAGACGTTCCTCTATTGTAACGGTAAACTTGAATGAACAGGCGTCTTTGTGCGTACTTGTACATTGGAGAAGGGAAACAATTTTTACTTGGGTAAGTTCTTATATATGTCGCCGGCAGTCTTTTATTTCTGTATCTTTTCATCAGAAGGCTGCTTCTCCACTGTCTTATATAGGGAGTTGTACGTGCTACCCGTATTTGGCTCACGGGCTTCTACACCTGTGACGTATGACAATATAAATTCACATTCGATTGTCATCCGTCAGCAATCACACATGCATGGCTGACACAATATCTTCCTATTGTTGTATTTTTCCTCATTCACAGTTGAGAACCCTCTCTATATTCCTTCTCTATTTCATAGTGCTAAATATCTAATTATTATCAATTAAGTACCTTAAGTTAGTAAACATATTACTGCTCGCACATAAAGTAAACATATCTATCGCGTATCACTAACTAACGTCAGACAGTGTGAAAGTGTAATTATAACCTATTTTATAAACCTTTTATTATCAACACCAACTGTGTATATTTTTAGAAATAATATGATGCATCACCTATATGTGACGTCATCATGTAAACAATCACTATTATTCAATTGTAATCATAACGTATGCCTTAGTTTGTGCTAAGCAGACAAAATAGAACGGAGATCCTCGGTAACACACACACACACAAATAGGATCTCCGTTCTATACACACGTTCTCACACATACACACACGGGCGTGGGTTCAGGCCTTAGTCTGTGACAACATCTTCCCCTGTCTGTGCACACATATACTAGTGTGTGTGTGTGTGCGTGCGTGCGTGCGCACAGACAGGTGAAGATGAGCACTAGGGGGAAGAAACCAATAGCTTTAACAGGGAACAAGAAACATATAATCCCCTGCACCAAGGTTGGTCATTTGGTCATCACATTTAATGTCTGACCCTTTCTCATTTTGACCGCCCAACTTATAGCCCTGGGTCCCGATCCACAAAGCGTTCATAGCGCTACGACATTCGTGAGCCTATGTTAAACTATAGAGTTACGACAGGTCGTAACGTTACAAGCGCTTTGTGGATCGGGACCCTGATGATTTGCTTGTTTGTCTTCTTTCCCGCTATATGAGGGCGGTTTGTAAATAATCGAATCTGGACAACACAACCCATTGACTGATATCATGGGCATCGATCTAATTAATTGGGATTCAATGACATGCATCCACCAACTAAACGAGTCTGACCCCAGAACCTTTGAGTCGCCTCTTAGAACAAGAAGTTGCTGAAGACAAATTCTAACCCGGATCTTCAAGGGTATGTAACCTCGTTGTGGCCAGATATATCGCCAACAAAAATAGTGTATTGACATTGAGTTTTTGTAATTTGTGAAGTGATAAATTCCCCAAATACGTTAAGAAAGGAGATCTATGGTTTTGTTCAGGCTTCAAGCCTTGATCGTGTACAAGTGCAGTACCCATCTGTAAGACAACCATACAACTCTTGTCTCTGGATATATTTTGTGCTTGTGAGTGAGTGACTTTGGTTTTACGCCGCTTTTAACAATATTCCAGCAATATCACGGCGGGGGACACCAGAAATGGGCTTCTGACAATGTACCCATATGGGGATTCGATCCCGGGTCTTCGGTGTGACGAGCGAACGCTTTAACCACACGACTTACCCACAGCCCGTTTGTGCTTGTACATAGACGCATTGGGAAATAGTCCAGCAACATGTCAGCGAACTATAGCCTAGCATAACCTTATCTTCGATTGCTACTTTACATATGGATATTTTCGGTTCAGTTTTTATTCATCTTCCTGACAGGTGCGGCCAAGATATAGTCGAGAGTTAACACTTGTCTTGTGTAGTCTTGGGAAAATGTATTTTCTGGTCAGCGTTGTGTTGGCTCTTTGTGTCTCCCAGGGAGCCAGTCAGTGAGTGAGCATATGTGTATTACTATAACTGTTCATTGTCACTTCTCAGTCTTATTGATCATTCTTGGTGTATTATTCAAGAACAGTTGTGAAACAGTTAATTACATTTTAACCGTTAATCAGGTAAATTCAATTTGGGCACCATGCAGGAAGCAGAAGTCCCCATGGCCCATTGTGTGATGATGGTGTTATATGCCCACAGACAAGCTTTCAATCTGTATCTCTGATACTGTGGTTCTTTTATTGCTCTTTGTCGCCAGGTTTTATAGTCTAAGTATATGTATTAGTAATGGATAGCTTGTTTCAGCCACGATACGGCTGAAATACGAGGTGACTATGAATAATGACTTAAACAATCCTGCTTGTCATGACTCAGTATGGTTTTAACGGGACAATTTATGATGTATTTGCACTCCGTACAATCTATTCAATAACATATATTTAAGGGTGACTATAGACCTTCGGCCTTACAATGAAACCGCCAAGGTGATGTTTGCGTCCGCTGACCTTGACAAAGACTTGACTTTCACCATCGGCGAACTGCAGTATTCGTACGATGCCTACGACGCTGATAGTAAGTAGATGTTCCTCTATTGAGTGAGTGAGTGAGTATAGTTTTACGCCGCACTCAGCAATATTCCAGCTATATGGCGGCGGTCTGTAAATAATCGAGTCTGGGCCAGACAATCCAGTGATCATCAGCTTGAGCATCGATCTACGCAATTGGGATACGATGACATGCGTCAACCAAGTCTGCGAGTCTGACCACCCAATCCCGTTAGTCGCCTCTTACGACATGCATGGGATACTGAAGATCAATTCTAACCCGGATCTTCATGGGTCTCCCTCTACTGAGTGAGTGAGTGAGTCAGTCAGTCGGTTTTAACGCCGATTTGAACATTATTCAAGTAATAACACGGCATTTAAGTTTCATTTTGTAATAATTTGTCCTTTCTGTAGAAAATTGAGATGTATGTCTATTAAGAAATATTATGTTAAACGATCAGTTTTCAATTGGTTGAGTTATTTGATATTGATTGTCAGAGAAAATTAGCAAAATATGTCTGTGAATCTTTAAAAGTAGGAAACAACAATTGAGTCAAATATTTAGAATCATTCCTGTTCTGGATACTGTCCTGTACAAATAACACTATACTGTATTTATAATTATATCCATTAAGCCCAACATCATATGTATTTGGCCAGAGGTCAAATATGACTTGAGTCAAGTTAAAGTCTGTATGTCAGTCTGTCTGTGGAAAGCTTTGAGTGATTCAGGTCTCGGGCGTTTAGCACGTTTGTTTGTTTGCTTGTTGTTTAACGTCAGTTGGCTCAGGAAGTCCGTTGGTATATTTCATGTTTAAAGCCTAACTCTGCCACATGACAACTCTAAGACGTCGGCTAAGTACCATCCGACCACCATTCACGTCATCACGTGTACTGTTATGACTTATATAGTATGACCAGAAATTATTGAGAATTTTAGGAATATGTTTAATTGGATTTCTAGTATAAACAACCCTGGCCAGCTATCAAGTGCTTGGTTTCACCCAAGAGAGACAACTCCGTTAATCCTTTTTCATTAGTTTGTGCAGAGTTATCCCCTGTATATGAGGTTTTTGTTGTCTCGAAATGTCTGGTATATATACTGTATATTATCTATTTGCTTTCTCCCAATGTTTTGTATCACATTTATAATTATATAATATTTATATATTTATTTATGTGGGTATCCATTCATAATCCTATGCTGTCAAAGTAGCAGGTGAGTTTCATGCTGATATTTTTACTCCCAAGTCATCAAACAACCTGATCATGGCGTTAAATCCAAGGTTGTCACTGATCATGCCTCGCTGATTTTCAACACAGTTCTTCAACAGCGTTAAATGTGTACTCATGTCTCTCTTCCTGTACCCGTAAGATCCGGGTTAGAATTGGTCTTCAGTAACCCATGCTTGTCTTAAGAGGCGACTAACGGGATCGGGTGGTCAGGCTCGCTGATTTGGTTGACACATATCATCGTATCAGAATAGATCGATGCTCATGCTGTCTATCATGATGTCTATCACTAGATTGTCTGGTCCAGACTCAAATCAACAAATCAACAGTCGATCAAATTCATCTTCAATCTCAACCCTATACGATGCTCATGATGTTGATCACTGGGTTGCCTGGTCCAGACGTCATTATTTACAGACATCCGACATATAGTTGGAATATTGCTCAGTGCGGCGTAAAACTAATCTCTCTCACTCTTCCTGGGAGTTACACGTTGGTAAAACTGTTAGCGGCGTCAGGTGTAGGTCACTGACTCCGTCCTATGTTTCAGATGATGGTGTTGTGTCGAGGACGGAGTACACCACATTCACAGCTCACCTTAATCCGGAAATGTTCGCCTTGACGCATGCGCTCTACGATATTTATGATTCAGACAAGGATGATGTACTTACCCTCTATGATTTCAATGCCTTGTACAAACTGATGGACACCAACGGTAACTATTAAATATTTCAATAATTTACCCCTTGCACTTAGTTTTAAACTAAAAATAAATTTAAAACTAGCTAAACAAAGATTTAATGAATGTTAAACGATTATTTATTAAAAGCATTGCTGTATTTATTTCTCACTGTGTGGCCTTCTCGTCAAAGCAACAGAGTTACCTTGTTGAAAGAAGATGAACAGAAACGGTAACTATCAAATATTTCCGATAATATCCCTCTTGCTCTTTTGATTTCGGAATTAAGTTTAAAAGGCGGTTAAGGAAGATTTAACTAATTCAAAATTAAAATTTGATAAAAGCATTGTGTGTCCTTATCGTCAAAGCACCGCACAGTGCACGTGGCGTCCCTTGCGTGCAAGGATCGTGTGGCCATTGTATGGAAACCATACCCGTATTCATGGGTTTCGCCACATTCGTCACCACTGGGCCCTTTCCGTAACCTCCAAGAAGACTCGTCCCCCTATCGATGAATGTTATGTGCGAAAATACAACAAACTAATCAGAATGCGCTAATCAGAAAAACTAATCATTGTTAGGAAATGTAGGTACGAGTTTCAAAACAATATATGTATCTATAACTAAATCAACTTTAATCTTAAACACTTGCACCGTGCTTACATTTCACTTCACTGGGGCTATGCTTGTCGGACGTTCCTAAGGGTCCTTCATACTTTTTTTCAGCGTATTCATTTTGAATTTCACCAGGTTTATTGCAGCAGGGTTATGTACATGCACGTTATGACATCTAGTACACTAAATAATGTTTTGACTCTGTAGGTATTCTCAGGTTTGAGATTATTTTAAACTTATTTTGAGCATATATTTCGGGACTTATAAAATACAATATTATTTAATTGCATATTCATGAATAAAAATCATATTAGCAATTGTTAAAACGTATTCTGAAGTATACATTTAGAATATAAGAACAGCTGGTAATAATTATGTTAAACATGTTTTCAATAAATCATCATCATCATTATCAAAATTATTGTTTAAAACAGGTTAATATCTTTTTAGATTGTCTGATATAATTAAACAGAAATAGAGTTGTCGTTTTTGTTTGAAGTAGATCCAATGGTTATACGCCAAAATGATACTATACTTCCAGAGTGGGCTTCGGTATTCGTCTTGTCCCGGAATAACACAACTGGGTGACGAATGGTTTCGCCAAAGACATGTATCTCGTGGCTTCCTCCATATTTGGCTGAAACGCTCTCGTATAAATAAATCATGCTGAAGTCAGCATGGAAGACAGCTCACTTGGTGATGCACAATATCACCAAGTCCAATTCCCATTACCAAATTTTGTATCTTATTGCGTTCTGATTTGTTATGTACAGCATAGTTATGTAACCCTCGCCATTCCTTATGTTGAAATACAATGATTTAACAAGTGTATAAAATGTCTCTGACAGTAATAGTGAATGCCAACGAACAAAGTGTTCTCTTGTTGCAGAAAATGGGCGTGTGAGCGAGAAAGAATATATACATTGGTGGACAGTGGTAAGTTGAAGTTCAGGAAGTACTGTTTAAATAATCAACCCCCGAAACAATTGTAAAATGGGTTATATTTGTGACTTCACATTTTCAGTAAAGCGCAGACCTTGTCCCTCTTTGAAGGGCTGAGTCCCATCCAGGATTCGAACCCACAACCCAAGAGCAAGGCACATAATAGCCAGGGTCCTGATTCACAATGCGTCCGTACGACATTCGTAAGTTTATGATAAAATATGGTCGTAACTTTATGAACGCTTTGTGGATCGGGGTCCAGGGAACCAAATCAGCGACGTAACCCACTCAGCCACCGCGACTTCTACAGAAATAGAAGTGTGACACATGTTAATGTACACATGTTACAGTCTCCTCTGCGAGAACACGAACACTGAATGTGAGTCTCTTAAGGGCAGTACAGCTGAGTTTAACAGTAGGTTTGGCACTATGCGTTACTTGCCAATGAATTATCAGCGTTTCCCCACTGTCACGGTAGTTGTCATTTATGTCAGTACTGCTAATCTGCCGATTTTCTCAAGCGGTGTTAAATTAATTAGCGATGTCACGATGATGTAGATAACATTTATCAGAGTGAACGAGTGAATGGTGTTTGACTCCACAGCAGTCTCATTCCAACTTACTATTCATGGTCGCCCGTAAAGTTGATTTCTGGAAGAGTAAGAAGCGATCTTCCTAATCGCCGTACGACTCACCAAGCCAGACAAACCGATCCTACGTTTAGTGGGTTGCTATACTGCAATAAAAGGCATGATACAATTGACAATTTACCGTCATTAATATATACTGTAATTCGATGATTTTGTAATTTTCAGACACTGGAAGCCCTGGATCATCTTCACCATCCATGATGATGAAATTCCATTTGTGAGCAAGTGTATATCTCCATGAAGATAAACAAGTGTATATACACTTGTTTACAAATTTTGTAAACAAGTGTATATCTCCATGAAGATAAACAAGTGTACATCTCCATGAAGATAAACAAGTGTATATCTCCATGAAGATGCTGTTTCGACATTTAACTAACAATTGAACGTGTTACCCTCTATATTCCGTGTTGTCATCTGTGATAGTATTTTCTTGCACATCTGTGGACGAGTAAGCCATGCGAGATAACTGTGTTAATCATATGAGTGAGATCGAATTCCAGGTTAGCGATTGGCTACTCCATGGTGATGACCTGAGGTCAGATTAGAACGGACTACTTCGTGACTTCTTTGAGTGACATTTTAGAAGCTGGGAAGTGCAATACAGACAAACGTTATGGATAACAACTTAAGGGTTTCTTGACAACGCTACAAGAACCTGTACAGAAACACTCACGAATTGCAGAAGTTGTTACCCATAAAGTTTGTTTGTATTTCCCTGACTTCAGTGTATTGATAAGAGAGTCATTCTTCGAAGTCATTTCTTCTATACTTTAACTGTTTAGTCTGAGAGTGTGTATATATGTTGTTGGGTAAGGTATCTAGTTTTCATTATCACGTTCGTCACAGAATGAAAGAAACGTTTGTGTAGAAGATCCAACTAGGTAAGCAGTTGACCGGATGAAGTCACCAATGACCGTTGTGTTTTGTATTAATGCGCCACTATGATCATGGGAACACACACAAACAATAGGGTTTCGCTCGTTTGATACGTTTTGAAAAAAACCTTCGTGAGGAGAATGGTATCAGACAAATAGAAATGTAGTAATATCAATGAAATTCATCTGAATGTATGTTCGTACATCGACCGGACACTGTGTGAGGAAAGATCCCGGTAACACTGATTCCCGGGCCATGGGGAATCACTGTACATTTTTTCATCAAGGATTTGAGGTGGTTAAACTATATGATTGTAGATTGAAGCCGTGCAAATAACACCATGTTTACCGAATCTGAATATTGGGAATTATGAAGCTCGGATTATTTAGATATGATTTAGTATTGCGGTTAAAAGAGACACGCATATACAAGAAATGCACTCAAGGATTTGGTTTCATACAGTATGCCATATCTGTTTGATGTTATTTCCAAGTTGGAACAATACGTTAACCAGAAATCTGTCTGTATCTGTCAAAATCAGTCCCGATTCTCAGTCTAAATATAGCAACAAACACACCACTGTCCTCTACTGAACCATAACAGAAGCAATGTAATAAATTGCAACACGGTTCTATAAGCAATAACACTTGAAAGAAACCGGGAACAAAATACGGGAACACTTGTACTTTCATGTGGTCCCTTATTTGTTTCCCTCAGTATATATTTGCCTGATATGGCAGAAGATATGATGAAAACCGAGAGGTAGTATATGGAACCCTTGAAGGAACACTGTCGCCCTTACAAAAGCAATTGAGAAGTGTCAGAATTAACAAACGTGCGACAACGCGTCATAGTGTCCATTTGGCGCATACTCGCATTGTCGCGCTTTAAATAGTATTTGTTATTTCTACCAGTGGGCGAAAACGCGACAGTGTCCTTTTTAGGATTCCGTAGGAGTACGTCCATGTCACTAATGTCAAACAGCTGTGTTTCTATTTTCACCCTGACCTGTAAGATAAGACTAGACATGTTGCCGCCTTATCACATGGTCACGTTGACAGAATTGATTGTCGAGGTACAAGTATGGTTTTCCTAACGTCGTGCGACAGCAGACATCTGGACAAGTAAAGCAAGTTGAAAGATGACTGAGTGAACTGAAAATTCGTCACGATAAGAAAACATACATAGCTTCAATCATACCAACTACACAATCACTAATCTCTGCATCTGACACCATCACCCTAATATGTAATGAAAGGAATGCTTCGAGTACGACTGGATAACTCATTTTCGATTTTTCTTATGGAAAGGAACTATAATCGTAACAGAATGACATTTATATTTTCATGTTCATTTCAATATTTTCTTTGTTGTGTAAACTTTGGAAATGTAAATAAAATCATTTACATAAATGAACTATCCTTTTGCTGCAATATTGTATGTGCAGATACTGAGATAGAGTATGTGGGCGTATATTACCACTGCACTCATGAAGAAAATGTTCATGGTTGTACTGACACACCAAGAAGGATGTTGCATAACATGAAGTATTAGTATTTCCTCAATACTGAAAAGGTCCCAAGGGACTTTGTCAAATTATGTATCTTTATACATGCATGCATACATACATACATACATACATACATACATACATACATACATACATACATACATACATACATACATACATACATACATACATACATACATACATACATACATACATACATACATACACACACACACACACACATACATACATACATACATACATACATACATACATACATACACATACATACATACATACATACATACATACATACATACATACATACATACATACATACATACATACATACATACATACATACATACATACATACATACACATACATACATACATACATACATACACACATACATACATACATACATACATACATACATACATACATACATACATACATACACATACATACATACATACATATACATACATACATACATACATACATACACATACATACATACACACACATACATACATACATACATACATACATACATACATACATACATACATACATACATACATACATACATACATACATACATACATACATACATACATACATACATACATACATACATACATACAATATGTATCTCTATACATCTAAGGCCCTTAGTGTTATGAAGGCAACCCATTCCTTTTCCTATTGGAATCTATCATAAATTGCAAATATGTTTAACAACTTGCTTGTTTTTGAAATATGGTGTAATACATTGTATATACTATTGTATTGCTGAAATGTGCATAGTAAAGAAATTCCTTTCAAATGAAACTTCGCATAACGATCTTATATATATCTGCAAACTTGATCCCGTCACTGTGTGGCTGAATTAAATCCTATGCGAGATTAACTTGTAATAATAGTCCGCGTATATGGCGCTCATATCCAGGCACGTTGCCTGCTCACGGTGCTACGTACATTAGCTATCCCCGGTCATAGGACACCATACTAGTCGCCATGAAAAGCTTTTATTCACTGAGTACTCATGCCTTATGTATATTATGATCTTTCATGAAAGAACGTCATTTTTAAACAGACGAGGCACGATGCATAAGGAATTATAGAGTTATTCAATCCATTGATAGTAAGTTTGTATGTTTCGATATGTTATGAAACCTTTTAAAAACCTTACTTCAATTGTAAGCCACATAAATATAACACACACACATAGGGAAAAACATCGAACAGGAAAACGACCGCTAATGCATGTAGTGCATATTGTTCTCAGTTGGCTCGTGCGAGGAGGTCATCATTTGGAGCTCATTTTCAGATAACCCATGCTTGTCGTAAGAGGCGACTAACGGGATCGGGTGGTTAGACTCGCTGACTTGGTTGACACATGTCATCGGTTCCCAATTGCGCAGATCGATGCTCATGCTGTTGATCACTGATTGTCTGGTCCAGACTCGATTATTTACTGACCGCCGCCATATAGCTGGAATATTGCAGAGTATGGCGTAAAACTAAACTCACTCACCCAGATAGATATTATCCAGTGACAAGGATACCATCTGAGGGTGACACTCATTCACTCATTTTCAGGATTAACTGGATTTAGGAGATACATTTTAATGAAAATATGCATATCCAAGTCTCAGAATTGAGAACATGTAACCATAATTTACTGCAGACCGGATGTTGAAGTTTTGTACAGAAGAGAGATCATGTGTTATGATCTGGGCAGCATTCCAGACGAATTACATTATCTGTTTAAAGTGAGTGAGTGAATCGGAGTTTTGAAAATGGCGACTGCTGATGACAAACGCTTCAAGGTGGAGTGGACATGGCGACAGAGCGCAAGGTAGTTGCGTCACTGATACAAAACTGGGTTTCGTGTCGAAATCAAGCTGCTTTCTTGTGATAACAGATAGCCATAACTTTGTGTGCAAACATTCTCATGCACTCTTCCAACAGTGTTTTGATGTAAGTCGGGGTTAACCTTTACAGTATCTTCAATTTCCACATGATAATGCTAGTCCACACATAATAAAAATCTTTTAGGAATGGAAACATTCCTGTTCTGATTTATACAGCTATACCTCCAGAATTCAATCCCACTGACAATTTGTTGGACCTTCTGGCACGACCTGGAGCTTCCTTGGTATTATTGCGTCACAGACTGACCGATTAAACCGTGTAGCAAATGACCCAGATTCCCCATCAAAATGTCCCATCGATGATAATTGTCCAATCAGTGGCTTTAAAACATAACAACAAACCTCTGAACTGACGAGAAAATGGTCACAGAACCTCGTTGCAATTACTTGAACAGAGCTGTCATCTGATGATAAGCTGCCCAATGTCCCAGAAATATGTAATGTCTTTCATTGTCTCACCGAAACATATCCATGTATGCAGAATTGTTGCTTTTGAAATCTGGTTTAGAATTCTGTATTTCAGTAATGGAGTTATCAAAGCATTATGACATTAACCATACTAAGTCTAGGTGCACATCTTCTACACAAGGTAAGGTCGTGCATATGAAATTAAAATTTAAAAAAGACAAGGTTTGGAACCTAATCTAAAGATTGTTCCGTCTAGGTCAAGATATATAGTTTGGACGGCATTGTGTTATATCAGACTACGACAAATATCGGAAAAGCTAGGTAAGTACTGAAATTACATAAGACAGACACTATACTTCAGATTAATGTGTTTTTAGATTATTAATTCTTAAAGGGACTTCTCCTATCAAGGTCCATATTTCACACAAATAAACATCCCAATTTTATTCAGGGAGAATTTTCAAATTTGACACCCCTTTCCAGTCGAGTATGTGACGTTGTATTCGCGTTTTTGGTTTCTTTGTAGACTTTCTACATCGATATGTACGCCTTGGTTGTTTTCCTTCTACTTGGAGTCTCTCTATCTCTTGCCGAGTAAGTAAAAACAACAATGAACATTGTCATGTCCTACTTACAAACAATTGTTGTGATCATAACCAGTGTATGAAATAAGCCAAAAACCCAGCCAGACATCAGGGCTGGTAACTTCAAAACGTTAGCTGTAACTTTAGACCGTCCGTCAGAAATCCAGCCCGTCTCGGGCTGTCGGGCAGACCTTATTTCATACACTGTTATAAATGATGGCCAAAATCGAAGCTGATTTTGGGCGTAAGTTACATACGAGCTAGCATTTACTCAAAATTTACAAGTGCATGTTCAAGAAGCCACATTTGACGATGTGTGTTTAAAATATATATTTGTTTTCTCTCAACTGGTCTGTTTGTAAATGTTTTCGAGAAAACCTAAGTGGTTCTTGTGGATCCTTCTAACAAGACCATAGGAGATACTGTTAAGTAAATAAACAGTAAATTCTGTTTGTAAACAATTGTTCATACAACACTCTTTTGGTCTACTAGTTCTTACAATTCCACGACAATGGCAATTTATTTCGGTATAGCGGCCACTTACCTGAGATATTCGCTGTACAGCGCAAATCCGATGAATTCAATAAAATGCCCTTACGACTGTGATATTGAGTTGGACATGTTGCAAATGCGTTGTGAGGTCGAAGCCAATTTCATACGTATAAAATGCCAAACGGGTTAGATACGTCACACAAAATGTGTTCCATGTAGGTTTAAGGTTAATCTTGTAAACCGATTTACTAGATTTCATTTAAGGAGATAAACATCGTGTGTTGGCCAATTTCCTGGTGGTATTGAGTTAGTGAAGCCCGGGAATTCATTTGGAACCGACGGCATTAGCCAGCACATGATATTGGCCAACACATGATGTTTATCGACATTGTAAACACAAACGTAAACCAAAATGCCCACACACGTTTTTATGTCTGCATTCATTGACATGAGTACGGGTACAGCAGTGAAATGTCATCAGTCGGCCGTGTCGGCTGTCTCCCATGGTAGCATCTGGAATAAGCTGGGCCCAGTCTCGCATATCGCAACATACGAGCCGGTACAGGCCAAAGACACGATGGCTGACAATGTTATGTCATTTTCCATTGGTTGCTATTTTTAGACGGCCGCGCTGTCCTTTTTCGGAAGACGTCAAAAACACATTTTGTATCGTTTTCAAAAATCGGCCATGCAGGCGCTTGAAAGACCTTTGAAAATATAAATTGTTCTTATTTTTTGGAAACTTCTTTTTCAAAATTCTTACTTTCTGTTATTGTACATATTTGATATCAATATTCACGAGAAATAATAGTAAACGTAAATATTCGCTTTTTTTGCGTGAAAGGATTGTCGCTTTTCAAATACATACCCTAATTCCATATGCGACAAAGATTTTTACTAAAAGCTTGTCAGACAACTGTGAGCGAATAAAATCATATCTGATGTATGAACAAGACAAATATGCAGGTAATTTATACATGTGGACATCGGTCGAGCCACGCATACAAATTAAATCTCGTATTGCAAATATTCCAAACATTCCTCGCGGATGACGTTAGAAAGTTATACATGTGTTAGAGTTGGTACGTGTGCCAACAGGCCCAACACTGGCACAAAATCAGTAGTAAGTCGAAAAATGAATTTATAATATTTTGTGGGGATATATAAGTATTGAATTATTCACTTAGAAAATGCTGAATGTGTCCTGAAGACACTTTAGTACAGCAACAAGAAAACTTTTGAGGCGATGCATCAACACCGCGGCAAACTCTTTGTTCATCAATTTTCACCAAATATTAAATCAACATGGGTAGGCTTTTTAAGCAATATGGTCTTGTCATCATTACAAAATGGTTATATGAAATTGAGCAATATAGATAAGGTGTGAAAACGAAGGCGGAGCAAACTCTACTTGTTTAAAATGTAAACAAATCATCACAATTCAGATCTTACACTGTGTAGTTTATAGATGTATGAACGTTTGATAATTAGTTGGTTTGAACATACTTTTAATAGGAAATTGACAATGTTATTGTTGTATACAAAATCTCGTACCTTTAGACAAGTGTCAGCAGATCTAAATGTATTCTACATCTGAACATAATGTTATAGTCGGAGGACCGTAGATCTAATGCAACGTTCACTTTTCAGATCCTATGAAACTGCGTCACAAAATACTTCCGCATCCAGTGGTTTTATTTTCAGTAATTTCTTTACATTTGAAAATATGGCTAGTACTCTATTAATAATGATGCAAAATTAGACAAAATACATCTACACTAACATGAGAATATGGGAACCTAAGAACTAAATTACATATCAGATAGGGCCATCCAAATCGCTATTACGTGCTTTCTCATGTAGTGCTTTGTCATCTTTTCTTATGAATTGTGCAACTACCAAAACATATCCGCTCACATTGTGGAACTTTGTATTAGTATAGCTTGGTTCATGGTGAGACAAACCATAACGAAAATATAGCGTCCATATCGACAACAAATTCTCTCCAAGTATTCTGAGTTACATTGACCTAGTGTTAAGCATGTCGGAGTTATGACCCCTTATCTTTATACGTGTATGGCCTCTCTGTCGTCGTTTGACGTCATAGAACCAAATCCCTTTTCGACATTTCTTGCGAGTCATTTTTAAGATTGAGCGTAAAACGTTATGCATAAGCACATAAACCCATTTCATATATACCTATGTCGTTCAGATATCAGGCTGTATTTTCTTCGCTCACACTTTCCGTAACGATGCCAAATTAAAAATTCGTAGCACAGTGCTTTCATCAATACACAATCAAAAGCGGAAAAATTTACTGCTTTTTAACGCATAACAAAACTTTGGACAACATTTAACAGTGTCTATTTCTCAAACCGCCGAGGTAGGTGCACTTATATTTATACCAACGGATAGGAAACTTAATATTCTACATTTCTATGTAATTTTATAGCCATACGCAGATCCAGGACCACATAAGCGCAATTCTCGCACAACGTTCACTTTTCAAGTCTTATGATTCCCAGATCTTTCATCGCGACGGAATCCAGATTGACCAATCCGGATGTGACGTCAAATAAACGAGCAGAGCGTTTTAAATGGCAGCCTATACCGGCTCCTAGTTTTGTCGAACGTTAGCGCGCGCAAAGGGAGCCGGGAACCAGCTTAGCATCTGGAACTGCTCATCTGTGACGTCATTCCGACTTTACGTCACAATATGATTTGAATGACGTCACAACTGCTGACGACGGAACAATACAATGGCGTTTTCGATGTTTGTATGTATTTTAAAATACGCAGCAAATGGTCTTGCAATTTCCGGGAATCGAATACCATTCGATCATGCTTTTCAACCAATCAGATTAAAGAATACAGTGACTTTTGGTTTACAATGTAACTTTGACATTTAGAAATCGACCAATAAAACGTCTGAAATATGGCACACACTTATAATTTATACCACAAGATAGGACATTAACTTTCCATTTCGATGACTACATACGTGACTACAATACGTTCTTTCGTTGCAGTGTTAACTTACGGCCGTATAATGTAACAGCACAAAACCTCTTCGACAACAACGATCTTGATAAGGACAAAGAATTCTCCTTGGCGGAACTCAAGTTTTCATTCCAGGGCTACGACTCTGACTGTATGTATACAACAGAAACCCTTCTGACATATGGCGACAATGTCGTGATAGGTCGATCCCTAGAAACCGGTGATTGTCGTAAAAGGCGATCATCGTTCCACCTGGGTGTAACCCGTGAAGGTCCAGGTTAGAATTGATCTTCAGTAACCAATGCTTGTACTAAGAGGCGACTAACGAGATCGGGTGGTCACATGTCATGGTATCCCAATTCCGCGTATTGATGTTCATGCTGTTTATCCCTGGAGTGTCTGGTCCAAGCTCGATTATTTACAGACCGCCGCCATATAGCTGGAATATTGCTGAGCGCGGCGTAAAACTAAACTCACTCACTCACTCCACCTGGGTGTAGACTGATGCTCATGACGTCAGTCATCGGACGTCACACAGCTGGAATATTGCTGCATGTTGCGTTAACCAACAAATATTTACAAGTTTACGTCATGTGGGCTGCATTTTAGCCAGAAATTGTTGTACATTGATATTTCCTAAAGACCCGTCATCTAAGGGCACGGAAAACCTACCATAGATTTCAACTTTCAACGTGAGTGAAATAATAAGATCGGGTAACGAAAGTCCGACTGCTGAGTCCTAGCAACCAGGGATACTCTACAACCTTATATAGTCTCCCTGTAGCAACCAAAGATAGGCTACGTTATTGAGGACAACTGGGACTTTGGGTACCTCAACTATCAGTATGGTACATCTGCAAGATTTACACCATCACCTTTGTCGTTTGGGATGTATTGACATGACAAGCTTACAATATATGTAAGTAATTGTTTTATTAAACGTTCTCATAAACCAAAAAACTAGGTCACTGTTAAAGTACTGGTAATTACATATTTCTACTGAGAGATTACATTCTTACTATGTGCAGCTGTACATATTGAAATATATGCTTAGAATTAACAAAAGGACAACAATTTTTATTTCCATGCGATCGAGAAAATAAGGTGGATTGTGTCTCAGTTTAAAGGCTCTATTTCACACCACACTTCTCTAAAAATAAATAAAGCATTTCTCTCAATAATACTAACTATCAACCCTCATTGAAGCTGCCATATCATTTATTCCAAATAAAATTACGTATTTAGATTACAATATTAATTAAATAAGTTCGAATGAATTAATGCAACGTTGCATTAAATCGACTCTCGCGCCCTCTACCGGCTGAACATTATTTTAAACGAACCCCATAGAGTAATGTCCCTTGGAGCGATCTGTACAAATATCCTATAACTTTTGGAGACAGGACTCAGTCCAAGGCAAAAACATACGAACAACTTGTGATTGAGTGAGTGAGTTAGTTTAGTTTTACGCCGCACTCAGCAATATTCCAGCTATATGACGGCGGTCTGTAAATAATCGGATCTGCACCAAACAATCCAGGGATCAACAGCATGAACATCGATCTACGCAACTGGAATACGATGACATTTGTCTACCCAGTTAGCGAGCTTGATCACCCGATCCCGTTAGTCGCCTCTTAGTACAAGCATGGGTTACTGAAGATCAATTCTAACCCTGATCTTCACAGGTAGTTGTGATTGAAACCAGTTCGGCAAACACCGACAACACCGCATGCGACAATTTTCGATGCACGGAGCAATTGTTTACATTCCATATATCGCAAGTGTTTTCTGTTTGGAAGCTGTTCCCCTCGAAGTTTCAATTATCGCTTTTCAGACAAGTCGTAAGGGATAATAAGTCTTTTATTGCATCAATAGGAAGCTAAAGCGAGTGCATATGTCCTCTATATAATATTGGCCAAAATATTGAAATGTCGAAAATGTGTGAAATTGTGCCTTTAAACGCAAAAGACACAAAACGTGATCTTTTTTGTCGAAATCCTCCAGTTACCTCCCTTCGTATTTTCAGTCGACGGAGTTGTCTCCCGTGAGGAGTACACCACGTACACCACTCATCAGAATCCGGCCTTGTTTATTCTGACGCATGCGCTGTACGACATCTATGACAGCGACAAGGACGGAGTTCTAACGGAATATGACTACGACCAGCTTTACAAGTTATGGGATGCCAACGGTACTTACTCCTGCTTTGAATTGATCTTATCTTGTGTGGATACAATACGGGACGGCACTAGTCATATTAGTGATTCCTGTTCCCGGTTATATGTACCCAACCACAATGTATTCCAAGATTCCTTAGAATCAAATCATGAATAATGATTGCCGCCTTTTATCATATTACCTTCGTTGATCCAGTGCACAATAATTAGTGTGTTGATTTGTTATTTAATGCCGCACTCAGCAATATTCTTGCTATAAGTCGGCGCTCTGCAGACAATCCAGTGATAAAGAGCATGAACATCGATTTTTTCAGTTGGAATACGATGACATGTGTCAACCAAGTCAGCGAGCCCGACCACCCGATTCCTTTAGTCGCCAAACATTTCTAACACGAATCGTTAGTTCAACATATATCACGCCGTTGTGATCTATACACCGGACCTTTTCACCCACTGAGCTTCGTTTCGTTTCCTTTCACTATCATACCACACTATTTATTTCGTTCATTACCTTCAAATAAACAGTCGATCACATTCCTCTTCAATCTCAACCCTATATGCGTAGAATCGATGCTCATGATGTTGATCACTGGGTTGCCTGGTCCAGACATGAATATTTACAGACAGCCGTCATATAGCTGGAATATTGTCAAGTGCAGCGTTAAACAACAAACAAACAATCTGATTACACTGGCGTCCTATTATCATACTTACTAGACGACTAATTTCAACGAATGGTCGGCTCCGCCACTTGGTTAACTTACATAATTAATGATCATATCAATCACCGGTTTGTGTGGTTTAGAGATTATTTATAGCCGTTTTATGAATAGAATATTGGCCAATATGGGATTAAACAACAGATGCCCACAACCTTAAAAATTGCTTGAATATAACTTTGTTGTATGTTTCAGAAAATAACGTTGTAAGCGAGCCTGAGTTTGTACATTGGTGGACGGTGGTAAGTGTTATGTTTCTACACTAGAAATATCCACACAGTAGTGTCATGCATGTAGCAATTACTCACAGCGTGTGAAACCGTTGAATAGATTCAGTTGAGTGAGTGAGTAATTTTAAACCGCTTTCATTAGTACACAATTTTATCACTGCGTGACTGCTTTATGTAGGAGGAAATCCAGAAGTGGTGCGATATCAGACAGTGTCGCGGAAACCCTGGAGCTTGGGCATACTACTGATAAACCTAGACACAGAAACAGGGAAACCATGAATTGATAAGTTTCTGGCATACCAAAGGGACGCAACTCTGCACGGGCGATTGCGACGCCCCAGACACTTGCGCCACCTTTGTCGCCTGGGTCCAAATATGAATTATTTGATTTTTATATTATTTTATATATTTGATATCTTTGTTTCAGACGCTGGAGTCCTTGGACCACCTCCACCACCCCGATGCCACATTTCCCCCCTCCAGAGTTCACAAATAGGCCTGTACTGTTGATGTTGATCAAGACAATAAAAACGCCACCACAAAAATATTCAATGTTCATAGATCTCGCTTGACAACTTCAGTGTTTTCAGTTTGGATGTTTCGATAACATGAATGTTAATTTCAAGAGAGCTTGAGGTTTCGTATGCATAAACCAGTAAAATTGGAGTTGAGAATTCAAGCCTCGTTTTTCCGCCTGAACCATGTTTCAACTCTTCAATCTAGTGACAGCAACAAGTTAATTAGCATAAATGTATGATGTAAAAAGCTTCCAAATTGCGAAAAAGGTTCATGTAAATATATACTGGCTAATGGATTACGGGCAAATTCAAAGCAATCAAATTATAGATTCGAAAATGGCGTGGCACAACTAACCTTCACGGCGAGTTGAAGTGAAAGTGTGATGGTTTGAGCATCACCTTGGAACTGTTTTAATACACATCGCGAGTGTCTCAGCGTGACATGGGCGCACAGTGCAAGTGGTTGCAGGCAATCTGTCACCATAAGAGGAATGGTGTTGGTCCTAATCAGGACGAACCTCTGAACCGGGTAAATATCAATGTCCAATCAGCTTACCAATGACTTACGGCAGTCACACCTCAGTATAATATTGTATGTAGCAGTGCTCAGGTGTCTGATTGTTGGGACAGTAATCAAAGAGATTACCAAAGTACTGTACGGACTACACCGATCTGTATAAAATCTCCCGGAACGTAAACATTCATGTCACATGACCGGAAAGTCCACCTCGTTGTTAACCCTCCAAGTATGTAATGTGATTTGCACACCTTGTGGCTACTGACTTGTGAAAATATTAAAATGGACAAATAGAATATACAATAAGAAAATCCAAAATTACAAAAACAACCAAAAAAGAAAAAAAAAGAAAAAAGAAAACAAACCCAACAAACATCTAAGCACAAACAAAAGAAAGCAACAAATACCCAACCAAAACAACCAAAGAAATTGAACAACAAAAGTTGTCAAAGGTTCTCAGCTTCATAATCGTGGCAAGTGAATACAATGTTATAATTACTACAAAAGCTTTCAAAAGTGATCCGACATCATTTCATGGTCACCTCGTTATACAACGTCATACAACCATAATGACGTTACGTTGCCCACGTTGAGCGTCGTTTTACGTTGAAAAGAATGAAAAGGTACCAACAGCAGCAATTTAAATGTTATGGTTACATATAAAAGCATGGTACCTTGAAAAACTTGGAAAAAATGACTATCCTTGGTGACACAGGTACTGCAAAGCAACAAAGGAGCAGGTAGTGTATACATATTATTGAAGTTTCACAGAATCCTGGAGTAGAACGAAAATCACATAATAACATTGGCAAAATGGGAATGTCAAATCTTGCCTTATTCACTCACACATGCAAGCACATTTGTACCTGTGACCCTGAAATATGTAATGTCTTCCACTGTTTGCTAATTAACAGGTTTTTTGTCTCTTTTTGTTTTTGAAATCTGTATTTTAATAATGGAGCTATTTAAGCACTATGACATTGACAACTAGTGACTTGTGATACACACCTTCTACACATGGTAAAATCGTGCATATGAACGTTAGATTAGAATTTTAAAAAGTAAGGTTTTGAACCTAATCTAAAGATTGTTCCGTCGAGGACAAGATATATAGTTGGGGCAGCATTGTGTTCTTCAGACAACGAGTAATGTCGGATAAGCTAGGTAAGTATTAGAATTACAGAAGAAAGACAGCACACTTCAGATTAATGTTTTTTCGCGTTTGATTCCCCTTTCCAGTGGAAGAAATGTTATGATTACATATAGAAGCATGGCAACTTTCTGAATTCAATATTGTTTTCTCAATAGTATTTATTCAGGAAGAACATTCCAATTTGATTCCCCTTTCCAGTGGAACATCCCAATATGTACTATTTGGCTGCTTTCCTTCTACTTGGAGTCTGTCTACGTCTTGCCGAGTAAGTAAAAACAAGTCGAGTAAACATTTTCTTTTCGTGTTTTATAAAATGTTGTGATTTTATCCGATGGACAAATTTGAAGTTGTTTTTCTGATTAAAATACAGACGGACTTGTAACTTAGTATTTACAAGAACATGGCCAAGAAGTAACATTTGATGATGTGTATTTGTAATATATATTTGTCTTCCCCTAACGGATCTGTCTATAGTAGTTTTTTGAATTCTAGAAAAGTCAATAAGATTTGGATAAACAGTAAAGGCAGTTCTATTTGTACACAGTTGTTCATATAACATGAATTTTGTACTTAAAACTCCCAATATGTGTGTTGCTCCTTCTTCAATTCTATTTTTACTAAAGCTTTGAAATGCATGACGACTGTTAAGACGTTTACTGCAATATTGTTATAAATGTCATCGGACCTATGGACTTATGTTTGATTGATTCGAATGTACGTGTCATGCATTTCTGTTTCCTTAGACAATTGGGTTATAACGTGTCATATTTGTCCCTAAAAATCCCGGTTTATTGTCTAGTGGCTGAGATTTGTTTCATTTGAACACATGCCATTTGTTTGTAAGTGCCCTGCCATACTGAAAACTAGACAGTGTCAACGTGTCCGTTCGTCATACGCAGGATTAGGCTTGACCTAGTTTTGGGCTATTGCGTCCAAAGACATAGATTATCACATTCAGTACTATTGTTCTATAAGGGAATTAATGGCATAGTAGTCAAAAGATGACGTTAGATCATTATCAGTGGTTTTGAACATGCAGGGTGACAAAAGAGTTTGGCGCAGTAGTGACGCCTTGCATCAAGTATAATTGATAAATTGAGGAAAGCTATAAGTCTGCAAGCCGTTGTTAATTTAATTCAGGAATTATTCTGAGCAAATGGACTTTAACAATTAGTCAGATGTATTCGCTATAGAACACAACACCGATAGATTCAATAGCATGCCCTAGCGTTTTATGATTGATGGATTATCAATAAGATATGCGCAAAGACCATAAAGTCCGGTTAAAAGAACCTTTTCTCTACGATTGTTTCGAGATACGTTTGATTTAGTCACAAAAGGCTCAATGCCGTAGGGACAGCTTCCCCTTAAAGATGATGCCCATCTCAGTTGTCATTTCGTTTGAGCATGGATTTTACTGACGGTGCAATATTCTGCAGGGAAGGGCAATATTGTCTCATCCTGTTATTCAGCTAATTTCCAAGTAGTCTAGCATGGGCAGGTATCCATGAAAAATGAAAAATCTAAAAGAGTTTTACACAATTCATTAAAAAGGTCGAGCGTAATTTTGAGTAAGTCCTGCCTCGCTGATTAGGAAACTGCCTGAATTGTTTTTTAAAACACTGACAATGACCACTGACACAAGTTTGCGATTTGTGTTATATTGCGTTAAACATATTGTAGACAAATTTTAATAAATTTCACACGTTTAAATTCTAAATGTATTTAGATGCGTCACACAAAATGTGTTCCAATTCGGTTTAAGGTTAATCTTGTAAACCGATTTACTGGATTTCATTGAAAACCTGACATTTAGAAATTGACCGATAAAACGTCTGAAATATAGCACACACATTATAATTTCTAGCACATGAATATGACATGAACACCGTAAAGATAGGGCATTAACCCTCCATTTCCAAGACTTTATACGTGACTACAATACTTTTTCTCATCGCAGTGCTGAATTACGGCCATATAATGTAACAGCACAAAACCTCTTCGGCATCTACGACATTGATAAGGACAGTGAATACTCCTTGGCGGAACTCAAACTATCATACAACGGCTTCGACTCTAACTGTATGTATACAACAGAAACCCTTCTGACATATGGCGACAATGTCGTGATAGGTCGATCCCCCACATCCGGTAATTGTCGTAAAAGGCGACCAAAAGATTAGCACCCCGTTCCACAAAGCGAACTTTGCGCTACGTGAAGAAACTACCAATCTTTACTATTGACTTACGATCGTCGTGGCGCTAACATCGCTTTGTGGAACTGGACCTACCTAAACAGGCTCTTGGAGTTGGTTGATGCACATCAACCCCGGAAAGTGTGACTGTAAACTCTTAGACTTTCAATTCCGATTTATAAACAGAATAATTTATAACATATGTTGTATTTGGGATTACACTTTCTTAGTTAAGTACAGATTCTAGTACTTTTTGGGGTTGAGTCCATACCGGGATTCGAACCCACAACCTCAGAGTCAGGTACCTAATCGCCAGCACACAAAGTCAGACGCCTAGACCGCTCAGCGACCGCGGCTTCCATTAAAATGGCATTGTGTATTTTAGAATAATTTATACAAAAAAAAGAATTATTGAAGATGAAGTTAGTTGATGATGATACATGTACATTTTGTAAAACCGCCTCAGAAGATATATCATATGTTTTCTTTGAACGTCAATTTGTTCGGAACTTTTGGCTAAAAGTTGAAGAATTCCTTAATGATAACCTCCAAACCAATTTGACACTACATGTATCTAAATTCATTTCTATGTTTGGACTCTCCTCAAACAACCAAGCCTTAAACAGCAAGATATATCCTTTGCAGGATTTCTTATGTTGCTTATATCGAAAGGTTTATTGCAATGAAAAATAATCAGTTAAGTTATTTTACTAGGAAATGACATTACTTATATACCCTGTTCTGACATTTTAATTTAGCACACATACAGTTTGATTTACTCAAACTAATGTGTCCACTACAGTTATAACACTTTCATCTAGCTCCTGTCTATCTATCTATCTATCTATCTATCTAAAGGTTTATATATAGGTATATATATATATATATTTATACTCCCTCATATGCATATACAATTTTTGTATTAACTTGATGATGTAACTGCCAACACATGTCACTCTTCTGTCTGTACATGCAACTTGAAATGGAATAAAAACAAACAAACATACAAACCCAATCCGGAGAGTAGACTGATGCTCACGATGTCCGTCACTGGTTTGTCTGGTTCAGACACTAATATATTTATATACCGACATCACTTGGCTGGACTATTGATGCGTGGTGTATATACCAACAAAGCAACATGGGTATTATTCTAGCCAGAAAATGTAGTGCATTGATATTTCCTTATCACCCGTCAGTGAAGGACGAGCGAAACTTACCAGTAACATATCAAGGTTTTCAGCTTTAAGCTTGTGTTAAATAACAGGATCGGGTAACGAAACTCCTATTGCTGAGTCCCAGCAACCAAAGTTAAACCTCGCTATTAAGGATCTTTGGGATTGCTGGTACCTCAGCTATCAGTATGCTACATCTGCAAGATTTACACCAACACTTTTGTAACCATCTCTTAAAACCCAACACTTTGTAGTGACATGACAAGCTCACAATAAATATAATTAATGTTTTGATTAACCATTCTCATAGAATAAAACCCAAGTCACTGGTGATTACTGTTGTCGTGATAGATAATATTCTTACTCTGTGAAACTGTACATATTGAACACAGGCGCTTAAGATTCTTAAGATTAATAAAAGACAACATTTTTATTTGGTGTTTCATGCAATCGAGAAAATAATATGGATTGTGTCTCAGCTTAAACTCAAGAGATACAAAACTTGATGTTTTTTTGTGGGAGAAAGACGATTAAATCATCTTGTTACCCTCCTTCTCTCTTTCAGTCGACGGAGTTGTCTCCCGTGAGGAGTTTACCACATACTTTACTACACAGAATCAGTACTTGTTTGTTCTGACGCGTCCGCTGTACGACATTTATGACGCCGACCAGGACGGAGCTGTAACGGAATATGACTTTAACCAAATTTACAAGTTATGGGATGCCAACGGTACTTTCTGTCTTTGAATCGATCTTATTGTGTGTTGATAAGATAGGGGACGACATTGGGAGTCTTGAGAAACATTCATGCACTGGTCATATTTAATCATACCTTTTCCAGGACGTCGTCATATGAGCGAAATATTCTCAAGCACGACGTTAAACCCAATTTCACCTCACCTCACATCACCTGTTTCAGGTGTACTTAATGTCTCCAACCACAATGTATTCCAAAATAATGTATGTGGAAAGCATGGAATCTAATCAAAACTTAAAGCATATTCTGCTTCTTGATCCAGTGCAAAATAGTTGGTTAGTTTGGTTTGTTGGTTGGTTTGTTATTTAATGACGTACTCAGGAATATTCCAGCTATATGGCAGCTGTCTGTAAATAATCGAATCTGGACCCGACAATCCAGACAAAACAGCAGCATGATTATCGAAAATCGATTATCGATTATTATCTACGCAGCTGTGATGTGATGACATGTGTCAAGCAAGTCAGCGAGCCTGACCACCCGATCCCGTTAGTCGCCTCTTACGACAAGAATGGGTTGCTGAACACCAAATCTAACCAGGATCTTTACGGGTTTGGTACACTTTATCTCCATGGTGTTGTGATCTATGAACTGTACCTTTTCCCTCACTGAGCTTCGTTTCGGACGTGTGATGGTCATTCGTTAAATCTATCCTTTCACTCTCATAGCACAAGATCCGGGTTAGAATTGGTCTTCAGCAACCTATGCTTGTCGTAAAAGGCGACTAACGGGATCGGGTGGTCAGGCTCGCTGACCTGGTTGACACATGTCATCGTATCAGAATAGATCGATGCTCATGCTGTCTATCATGATGTCTATCACTAGATTGTCTGGTCATTGTATTCTAAATGTGTAGATCGATGCTCATGATGTTGATCACTGGGCTGGCTGGTCCAGACTTGATTATTTATAGACCGCCGTCATATAGCGGGAATATTGCCGAGTTCGGCGTTAAACAACTAAGAACAAATTATACTCTTCACAAAAAGTTAAGCAACACTAATTTGTAGTCTCATTACATTTTCATTTATTGAAATTGCAAATCATGGAATGATGCGATAGAAAGGTGAAACATATGTACACGCGATTAACAAAATGAAATGAAATGGTATTGAGCAATAATAGACTTACAAATCATCAAAAGCATGTACCCGTGAATCAGTCGTGCAAAATGTGCTGCATTGATGGAGCAAAATGTTAACATTAAGATTCAAGTCAGTTTTGGACAGTGAAGCAGTGTTCAGTAACGCGTATGACCACCATGAGCACAAATGCAAGCTTCTACACATCTTTGCATTGACCAGATGAGCCTTTAAAGTTGCTGTTGTGGAATGTTCTGCCATTCTCTCTGTAACGCCTGCTCAAGTTCATCCGGAGTCTGGGGGTGAACATGGAGACCGTAAACACGACTTCCAATAATGTCCCAAGCATGTTCAATGGGATTAAGATCAAGTGACCTTGCAGGTCAGTCCATATGCGTGATGTTGTTGATCTAAACGAGATTGTTAACACCTCTTTCTCGGGCATTATCATCCATGGACGGGCATTATCATCCATAAAAATGAAGTTAGGACCCGCTTGTTGTGCCAGAGGAATGATTACAGGTAGGTTTACACCGATCAGGGTGCATGTACGAAGACTGGAGCACATTCATGCCACACATTTTGCATGTTGTTTCTGAGGGTGGTTGTGTTCGGGTGATTTTGTCAATGTTGTCAGATAAATCAATTTGACAGTCATTAAAGGTTATGTATTCTTTGAATATTTACCGTTCAGTAACATGTCGGCAAAAATCGCTATCGAGATTTATAAAGATATTACACTGAAAATACTTGTTGCTAAATTTTTGTGAGGAGTATCTTATTACACTGGCGTCCTACTATCATACTTACTAGACGACTAATTTGATTGGATGGTCGCCACTTGGTTAACTTATATAATTAATGATCATATTTGTTTGGTTTAGAAATTATTTACAGCCTTCTTATGAATAGAATCTTGGCGAATAGGGGATTAAACAACAAACATGCACTGTACTCCTGCGAAAATCGTCGTATTTGACCAACCAGTGATTGAGACACCTACAGCCTAAGGGCTGCATGAAGATAACTTTGCTGTATGTTTCAGAAAATAACGTTGTAAGCGAGCTTGAGTTTGTACACTGGTGGACGGTGGTAAGTGCTGTATATCTATAGTGAAAATATCCACACAGTAGTGTCATGGACATCGCTAACATGCATGTAGCAATTGTTCAAAACGTTGAATAAATACGACTGAGTGAGTGAGTGATTTTAACGCCGCTTTCATTAGTACACAATTATATCACTGCGTGACTGCTTTATGTGGGAGGAAATCCCGAAGTGATGTTATCCCAGACGTTAACAGCAGTGTAAACCGTGGAGCTTGGGCATACAATTGTTAAACAGACCAAGAATCAGGGAAACTGTGATCCGAACCCATAATAAGTTTCCAAGGGACGCAACTCTGCACGGCTGATGCCTCAGAGTACACTTGCGGCACCTGTGTCACCAGGGTCCAAATATGAATGACTTGATTATATAATATATATGTATAGAATTAAAATTTCGTGATAACTGTAGTTTATGCATTTGACATCTTTGTTCCAGACGCTGGAGGCCTTGGACCACCTCCACCACCCTGATGTCTAACGCATAGTACTCATTATGTTGATGAGACAATAAAAACGCCTCCACAAAATAATTTAATGTTCATTTATCTCACTTAACAACCTCTGGGTTTTTCAGTTTGTCTGTTAAATGTTAAATGTTCAGATTGCGTGAGCTTTCGTATGCATAAACCAGTGGAATTGGAGATGAGAATTGAAACCTGTTTTTTCCGCCTGAAATAAAAAAAATCCACTCTTAAATTATCACACATCAAAACACATCGTGTTAATTAGGATAGGTGTATGATGTAAAAAGAGCTTTCAAATTGCCTGTTGTGTGTTTGGTCGGGTTTGCGAAAAATGTTCATGTAAGCACTGGCTAATGGATTACGGGCAAATGTTGATTCAACAGCAATCAAACTTACAGATTCGAAAATGGCACAACTAACCTTCAAGGCGGGTTCATGAAATAAAAAGTGTGTTGGTTTGAACATCACTTTGGAACTGTTTTTAATACACCGCACGAGTGGCTCAACGTGACATGCATGGGCGCAAAGCGCAAGTGGTGCAGGCAATGTATCACCATAACTGGAATGGTGTTCTTCCTAATCGGGGCGAACCTCTGAACCGGGTAAATCTCAAGGGTCCAACCAGCTTATCAATGACACCTCACTATAATATTGCATGCTACAGTGCTTAGGTCTCTGATTGCTGGGGCAGTAATCATACAGATTACCAAGGTACTTATTCAAGGTACCGACTGTGAAGATGTTCATCATCCTTGCTGTCTCGCTTGAATGCTGATCCCCCGTGCGCCCGATTTTAAGAAAGTCACTACATTCCATGAATGAACCAACGCTTGTCCCAATTCAGCTAACGTCAATGGCTGATTCTGGGCTTGACGTAAACGTCTCTCCATTTCATCCGAAGCGTGTTTGATGGGGAACAGGTCCGGAGAAACAGCTGGCCAGGGGAGTGCGGGAATGTTCTGTTGTTTCAGGAAATCTGTTACATCACGAGCGACATGTTGACGGGCATTATCTTGCTGAAGCGTGAAGTTACGTCTCTGTCCTTGAATGTCCTGCACATGAGGCCCAATGACCTCATTCCTGTATGCACACCTGTCAGATTGCCATTGACAATGACAAGTTGTGTCCCACCATGAGATGTGATGTTTCCCCACACCATAACGCTTTCGTCACCAAACTGTTGACGTTGAACAACGTATGTGTCAGCATACCGTTCACCTCGTCGTCTGTACACCATTGCCATGCCATCTCGACTCGTCAGTGAATAAAACACCATCCCAATCTTATCTGCTGTACCTTACATGCTGTCTGCACCAGGCAAGACGTGCCTGTCGGTGACGTTGGAACAAAATTGGACTATTGCAGGCCGTCGGCGCCTGAGTCGGTTCCGTACAGTCCTGGAACTGATTTGACGTAAGCAAGGAATGGTTCGAGACGTCAAGCTGATCGTCTGGAATCCATTCCGTAGATCTGTGTCTTGCTGACGTGACCTCAAGCGTGGACGAATGGTCTGAGGCAAATCTGTCGTGTTCCCATTATGTTAAAAACGTCTTCATAGAGATGAGATTGTGTTTCGATGGACACCAACATGTCTGGGCACTTCATTTTGGGTCATTCCAGCATACCCACGGCACGGAGACGCTGATTTTCTGTAAGTCGTGGCATGACGTACGTGCAGTTTAGGTTGAAATTAACGTGTTTTCCACAACATTCAGAGGCTAGAGAATGATCTACCGTTCTTCAAGTTTTAATATCAGGTGTGAGAAATTTAGGTGTCAAACAGCATATAAAAGTGAGTAAGTTCATTGTGCACAAAGTGCACGTGCCACGCGCGATACGTCACATGAAATGAAATGTCAAAATGCCTTGCTACATGTTTATGTAGGGTTATCTTTATAACTTTTCAAACTTTATAACTTTTATTTTATGCAATTTTATGTGATGCACAGTTACTTTTTTCCGTTAGTACTTATGAAAAGAATGTTTGAATGTTGCGTACTCACCTCTCATTCCTCGGATATCTACTGTGATAAAAAATGTAAGTAAAATGTCAAAGGTTCTCAGTTTCAACAAGTGAATTAAATCCTAACGTTACAGCAAAACCTTTCCAAAGTGATCTGACGTTATTTCCTTGTCACCTCGTTATACAACATCATACCACCACGATGACGTCACGTTGCACACGCTGAACGTCATTTAACGTAAAAATGATTAAATTAAAGGTACCATGAGCAGCAATTTAAATGTTATGGTTACAAATAGAAGCATGGCAACTTTCTGAATTAAATATTTATTTTCTCTAAAACTTGAAAAATGACCATCCTTGGTAACACAGGTACTGTATATCAACAAAGGAGCAGGTGGTGTATGATAATGAAGAACAGAATCCACGAGGAGAGCATGATCACATAATAATATTGGCAGAATTGGATTGTCAGATCTTACCTTATTCACTCACCCATGCAAGCACAGTTATGCCTGTGACCCTAAAATATGTAATGTCTTCCACAGGGTACTAATTAACAGTATTTCGTTCCCTTTTTGTTTTGAAATCTGTATTTTAATAATGGAGTTATTCAAGCGTAATGTCATTAACCATACTGGGACTAGTGACTCGTGGTGCACACCTTCTACACATGGTAAAGTCGTACATGTGAACGCTTAAATTAGAATTAAAAAGCAAGGTGTTGAACCTAATCTACGGGGTGTTCCGTCGAGGTCAAGATATATAGTTTGGACGGCATTGTGTTATTTCAGGCTACGAGTAATATAAGATAAGCTAGGTAAGTATTGGAATTACATAAGACAGACAGCACACTTCAGATTAATCCCAATTTTATTCAGGGGAATTTTCGGAATTTGATACCTCTTTCAAGTGGAAGAAATGGTATGGCTTAATACGGAAGCGTGGCAACTTTCTGAATTTAATTGATTGTTTCAAAACGTTGATTACACAACATTATCGTTTCCTGGAGTCTCGTTGACTGGATTCCGTCCTATTGCGCAACTTAGTGCAATAACCAATCCAGAATTTTGAGACCAATTCATACAACTGGATATATAAATATTAATCAGTATTAATTGATACATCTAAGCACTTGTATATTGCAACACTACGTAACTTTTAATCCTTGCAAACACGTCGTGCAGCGTGCTCTGTCGTACAGCTTGCTCTGACAAACGGAAATCTGGAAATGGTGGATTTCTCAAAACGAGGCTCGGCCGCTAGAAACGTTTGGCGGTCTGGTATGGACTTGATATTATATCAATCACATTATGCGTTACAAAAATACACTGAATAAGCGCCAAAAACCAGTGCTCCAGATGAATTGTGAATCATTTTACGACCTCATCAAACGGGGACAGTCTGTGACGTCTTAGTTAAGGTCATGCTGCCTAAACCTCACCACAAAACATAGAAATACGATTTTATTGCACTTTTAAATAAAAATTCATTTGTAAATACCATTTTCTTATGAAACAAGGAATTGGAATACAGTGTAACCATGGTTGTTTTTAGTGTCTCTTTTCACTTTCACACGAGAAGAATCGGATCGGCTGTAAAGTAGGTCATTGTCTCTAAACTGGTTAATGAGACTTGTGTTTCGGTTTGATAGTATTCATTCAGGGAGAACTTTCGAATTTGATTCCCCTTTCCACTGGAACTTCCCATTATGTACTCTTTAGCTGCATTCCTCCTACTTGGAGTCTCTCTAGGTCTTGTCGAGTAAATAAAAACAACAATGAACATTATCTTTTCGTATTTTTACAAAATGTTGTGATTATATCCGATTGCCAAATTCGAAGTTGTTTTCTGGTTAAATAGTCTGTAACTGTAACTTAGTATTTACAAGAACATGGTCAAGAAGTAACATTTGATGATGTTTGTTTGAAATAGATATTTGTCTTCTTAGCGGTTGTGTTTGAGATATACTCATGCCAATAATGGTTGTCACCCCCTTCAATTGTATTAATAGGCTGGGGGTGTCAACAATTATTGACATGAGCATAGTTTCGTGTGGATACTTCTGAAAGGTCAAAAGGATTTAAATAGACAATAAATGCAATTCTATTTGTACACAGTTGTCTATATAACATTATTTGTCCATTTGTACTTTAAATTCCCAATACATGTGTTGCAAATTCTTCAATATTTTTTTAAGCTTTGAAATGCACTACAACTGTTAAAACGTTTACCGCAATATTGAGAAGGAGATAATATCAGACTTATGGACTTATGTTTGATTGCTTCGAATGTACGTGTCATGCATTTCTGCTTCTTTAAACAATTGGCTTATAACGTGTGATATTTGGCACACTAGTCCCTAAAAGTACCGGTTTATTGTCTAATGGCTCAGATTTGTTTCTTTTGAACACGGAAATCGATGAGATTTGTCTGTAAGTGTATTGCTATAATGAAAACAAGACAGTGCGTACGTGTCCGTTCGTCATACGTGGGATGAGATTTGACCTAGTTTCGGCCTATTGCGACCAAAGACATAGCATATCACATCCAGTGTTCTAAAAGGGAGGTAATCGCATAGTAGACAAAAGATGATTTAAGATAATAATCAATGGGTTTGAACATGCCTGGTGACGAACAAAGAGTTTCCTCGCACCAAAGTATAGGTCCACTATTGAAGAACGCTAGTAGTCGGCAGCCATTGTTAATATAATTTAGGAATCATTCTGAGCAAATGCCGTTTAACCATTAGCCTGAGATATTCGCTATAAAACACAAATCCGATAGATGTAAGAAGTTGCTAATGTGATTGTGTTATATTGTGGTAAACATGGTGTAGATGTGTTGAGAGATCTTAGCCAACTTCTTAGACTAACAACTAGTCTCTGAAATGAACATATATAAAACACTTCATAATATAAAAATATAATATAGCTGCGAGCAGCAATATAAGGCTATACCCCAAATGACTCAATTAGCCATTTAGAACTTCATTGTTCACGTCCATAATTCCAGAGTCGATTATAAAATTCTGACTGGCAATCCAGTGACTGAGATCATATGATATGGTTTCAGAGCAAATAGTGATACCATCTGTCACCTGGTTCTTAACACATAGTATATGGTAATCTTGTATGGATCATGTCACTTCCAGTAATTGGAAGGGCTTCCTTCAATAACTTTAAAATTGAATTATCATCGAACTGGAAGTATTGGAAGTTTAGATCAATTCATTACAAAGCATATTTTATTGGATTTAAGAATATCATTTGGGAAAATGACTCTTAAAACAGAGGAAACTTTTGTTCCAACAGTCAGGAAAACAGGAAATTCCATGACCTAAGCCGAAAAAGGTGCAAGGTTCACATTAGAGGAATTCAAACATAAGTCTAAAACACATAACAAACGTTTCCAGTGACTTATTTCAAGAATATTTACAAAAAATACCATGGACGCTCTTATATTTTACACCAGACCCTGGTCAATTGAAATGCAGCTATGGGAACATTTAAGTCATTTTAAGGATGCTTCTCATGTCAAAAATAGAACATCCGTGCTACGAATACCCAATCTTGACTATCTTGACAAACAGATCCCATTTGGTGAAAGGGGAAATAAATGTGAAAATAATATGAAATGGATGACTGAAAATTAGTGGTGAACGTGTCCTGATCAACCGTGGCGCAGGCCATTCATAAATGTTGCTAAAACTGGAAATCTGTTTTGCCTGACGCCGCACACCTGTTTTCCCCCCATTAGACTTCGACTTGAAAACAAACCAGACAATCAAGTGATCAATGAACCAGAAAATCCAGCACACTGGTGGACGGTGGTAAGTGCTGTATATCTATAGTGGAAATATCCACACAGTAGTGTCATGGACATCGCTGACATGCATGTAGCAATTGTTCAAAACGTTGAATAAATACGACTGAGTAAGTGAGTGATTTTAACGCCGCTTTCATTAGTACACAATCATATCACGTTGAATAAATGACGTGACGCCGCTTTCATTAGCACACATTTTTATGTGGGAGGAAATCCCGAAGTGATGCTATCCCAGACGTTAACAGTAGTGTAAACCCTGGAATTTGGGCATACTGCTGTTAAACATAGGCACAGAAACAGGGAAACGGTGATTCGAACCCACAAGCATGATATTTGCAATGCCCCAGACACTTGCACCACCAGGCTCCAAATATGAATTATTTGATTTGTATATTAGTTTATATACTTGACATCTTTGTTTCAGATGCTGGAGTCCTTGGACCACCTCCACCATCCTGATGCCTAACTCCTCTCCCTCCCCACCCACCCCTCCCCTCCAGAGCTCACAAATAGGCCTCAAGATGCCACACACAGTACTGTTGATGTTGATCAAGACAATATAATCGCCACCACAAAATTATTCGATGTTTATTGATCCCACGTGACAACCCCTGTGCTTTTCAGTGTATATCAACAAAGTTGTAGAGAATCCTGGAGGAGAGCGATAACCACATAATTGTATTGACAGAATTGGATTGTCAGATCTTGCCTTACTCACTCACGCATGAACGCACATTTGTCTATTCAATTCACACAATCGCCTCTGTACTTGGCCTTATTCACCGTAGGACCATAGTTTAACCACAAATGACCCAGGCCTCCGTTTTAATTCTTATTCATACCCTAGATACCGATCTGAAATGATAACAAAGGTGCCCCTTAGTATTTCTCATGAACGTTTATAATGAAAAATATTACCGATAGTATAATACCATATATACATGAGGCATTATACAACAACTGTTGTAAGAAAACACACATTGGACTGTGACTTACACAATTCAATCACCAGACGGCAATCGGGCACAGCTTAAGTACAAGCCATGACAGTGTAAACTGTCACAATAGTATACATAAGAATTGGCTCCTCTGTAAGTTGAACAAATTCTAACAGATCAGTTTATAACAAAATGGCAATATGAAAAATCTTTATCGTTTCAAGGTAAAACATATGATTGTATAAAGCCATTGTTTGGTGCTGAAGACTACATTTTATTACAAGTTAGAGTTTCACAACTTCTTTTGAAATTTAGAACTAGTAATACTAGGCTTCCTGTTGGAAGTACGGCGCTGGTATCATGTCTCCTATAATGACCGGAAGTGTTTGATGGGTAACTCATGTGAAGTGGGTGATGCGTACCACTAAAGTTTTCAGTGTAACTCTTTTTAGAAGATAGAACTAAGTTATAACCAAAGTATTGTTGTACAAGACCTAATTATTTTAAACTTCATAGTCTTTTTACGGAAAGAATTTACACAATTATTGATAAGCTAAGCAAATATATTAAATGTATTTATGTAAATCTTTCAAAACTTTAATGATATTGCCTCCTTGTAATACTATTATATCATTATTGGTGCGTGAATGTTATGTGTATCACTGGGAGTGGTTTGGGTGAATAAATGAAGTGAACTAAACAACTGTTAGTCCGATGCGTGACCTCGAACTTAATGTTTCGATTATTACCGCTTGTGTGTCGATTATTCAGTATTGTTGGGGCCAAAGGGAGAAGAAAAACAACCTATATTTCAAATTGTTTTCTATTCGAGGAAAAGCGCCCACACACATACAGTGGACATTGACGTGTAGCCTGTTTGTTCCAGGTACCTGTAAGTGGGTTATGTATGTTCACCAATTTGGTGAATCATTTTTGCACGCGACAGACTCAGGGACATAATCTACGCGAATGCTTGAGCCACCGTCAGTGTAGGAAAACAACGCATTATTCAGAATCATTTAATGCCCGCTGTTAAAGAACAGGTAAACACAACGTTTGCCTATGCCTCTTGCCAAGGCTTACTTATATCCCGTAGGTATATTGCTAGACTCTGATAAATACAAAGAAAGGATAAAGGCATTCTTGAAGTTAATCGATTTAGTCATTGGGCTGTGTTTATTTCACATACGCATCGCCGAACTTCTTAGGCATTCGGACAAATTGACCCGAAGCTTTACACAAAGCCCTATTTGAACTCTTGGTCAGTCTGAACTGGGTGGACAGAGCCAGCGACCACGGTCACTGAAGACACATACAAACTTCTGCGACGTCGTCAGAATGTGTCCAGGGGTGACCGGAAGTACACACGTGATGATGTTGATTCAGATGCTGCTAATAATGAAAGGTAAGCTTGTGTGGGATTTTACAGAAAGATTCAGAGACACGTGTTAGGAAGGATATTGTACGCTTTCAAATGTTTCAAACACATACGTTAGTACCGGCGATGACAGTCATTTAATACGTCATGTCTTGCAGTGCCAGACATTATGTAACCATATCTGATTAGTGATGATGGAAGCGTTTGGAACATTACCGATGTAACCCCTTCCCCAATACTCACAACTCACTCCCACCCACACCCACACACCCAGACACACCCACAACCAGACACATACGGACCCACACACCCCACCAGACCCAGAACCCACGCCTCACTCTCTCTCTCTCTCCCTCTCTCGTCCCCCTCCCCTCTCTCTCTCGCTCCCCCTCCTCTCTCTCTCTCTCTCTCTCTCTCTCGCTCCCCCTCCCCTCTCTCTCTCTCTCTCTCTCTCTCTCTCTCCCTCTCTCTCTCACTCACACAAACAAACACATACACAATGTTTATGTATATCACCACAATAACCGTTATCCAAACTTTGGCTTGTCCAGTTCGCAAGGAACGATTCGGGTGATTACGAATGCGATCTTTCGTGAAGTATTCGGGGGAATCGTCTCATTTACCATGTGTGAATTCGGTACAAGAAATCATAGTTACCTTGGGATAGTAATCTTCAGATGAACCATATATGGTCTCTGGATGAACATAACGAAAGTGATCGTTGAGAAAACGGCGATTCTGGATAAACGTGGCCTCGTCCATAGTATATAGTAGGTGTTGCCTGTAAGATAAAGGATTCGCGATGGTAGGAACATGGTACTCGTGAGGGTCTGTTATGAAATGTTCCTGAGTAAGCGGAAGTTTGTGCTCTGTTAAAGCAATGCTAAGGAAAGCCTACTGTTCTGAATTCAGTTATATAAGCATGTCGGCAAACATACACGTGCTGAGAGTGTTTACATCATCCTGCATCGCGACGGCGGAATATGTGCATTTAATACGTGATGAAATGAATTCCATAGCTGGCTACTCGTGAAAATAAACGTCAGACGTTTTAGACAAACATTGAGTAAGAAAGATTTACCTGATTACATGGCCGTTTTTCGCACATACTTTACAGGACCCTAAACCCAAATTCAGAAATTATACAAATAATATTAGCTAATCAGACCTTTGTGTTTCAATAAAGCTATATTAAGTACTTATTATCCATTTTTATCATTTGTATGACCCTCCCCGACAAACTCTGGTTTGGTGACCCTACACTGACTCCCTGAGATGCCCCCAGGGTCAACCCAACACATTTGGTAAACTTGAGATTTGGGATTTCCTCAAGAAATTTAATCTGCCTTTGGGGAAATTGCTACGGAAAGAAAGAACCAGATCTAAACCAAATAATTTTTATTAAGTCATTTTATGAACTGAAGGTGAGACAAAAGATCCATTTTTTTATTACTTCTAGTATGGTGGCACTACTCCAGTGTTCCGTACGGTTCACCAGCACCTCCACAAACCTGGCTGTCAAAACCTCCATTGTTTTTATTACTTCCAGTATGGTGGCACTGCCAGTGTTCCGTACAGTTCACCAGCATCTCCACAAACCTGGCTGTCAAAACCTCCATTGTTTTATTACTTCCAGTATGGTGGCACTGCCACAGCACCTCCACAAAGTTGGCTGTCGTACAGTTCACCAGTATTTCGGCACTGCCAGTGTTCCGTACAGTTCACCAGCACCTCCACAAACCTGGCTGTCAAAACCTCCATTGTTTTTATTACTTCCAGTATGGTGGCACTGCCAGTGTTCCGTACAGTTCACCAGCACCTCCACAAACCTGCGAAGGGATCTCCTGACGGACTACGACGTTGAAGTGCGACCTGCCCTAAAGACCCAAGTCTCTTTACAGATGGTGCTGGTCTCTCTGAACAGTATTGTACGTGCAGATACTATATAACATCGCATACAGTATCGGTAGACGTCGTTGCTGATTTAAGACTACAGGAATGACTTGTATGATCATGTGTAGTGTCATAACTTTGGCAGGAGGGGTGGTGGGGTAGCATAGTGGTTAAGGCGTTCGCCCCTCACGCCGAAGATCCGGGTTCGATTCCCCACATGGGTACAATGTGTGAATTCCCATTTCTGGTGTCCCCCGCCGTGATATTGCTGGAATATTGCTAAAAGTGGCGTAAACCTAAACTCACTCACTCACTCACTCACTCACTTTGGCAGGAGTTTGCATAATGTTCTTGTATTCTCATGATGTCAAAGCGTGTTATGCTTTAGGGAGTAAATAGAAGGACACATACAGGTTCCAGTAGCTGAATTGTTCACATTATAGTTATATGTTATGTGTATATAATGTGTTGTTGACATATTCTGGCATCTATTTAGTACAAAATTGATGCATGTGAAGAGTGTAATGAATGGAAAGTACTCCAGAAATGACAGTTTCTACAACTGAATTTAGTACTTTTAGCTGCACATGATTCTACAGTAATGTGGCTTCACAATGAGAAATACAATGCCAACAGTAGACATGGAACAATGAACCTATCTTAGTACCATGAAGTAAAGAGAACGTGTCTGGTTCGGTACCCTCAAAGATACAAACGAACATGCTGACACTGTAGGTTTAGAAGATTAGAAGAAATGGACAGACAAATGTATTTCACCTTTGATATTCTGGACTCACAAATTAGTTCAGCTAAAATTACACCAAGAGAAATTGTGATGGAGAGTCAAAATGCCTCTCAAGTCACCGATTCAATAAAGAAAGATATCTTTTTAACTGTTCTGAAAGTTGTATAAATTCACCTTGCTTTAAAAAAAAATTGATTCTGATGAAAGAATCAAAATATGGATTCATGTTTCCTTATAATCATAAAGTTTGGTGAGAACAAAGCTGATTCTTATTCATTAAACCCATCTTCATTTCCAGGACACAGCGACTCAATCCATGTCTGTCAATTGCTTATGGTATACGGTGAGATATTTTATGTATCTTATGATCTCAGAATGTAATAACTGGCAATAAATTGCATATTATAGGTATGTCGAAAAATCTAGGATGTATGAACATCCCCAAAAGACCTTTAACAATGTCCAGTGATGTTTTGGAATACAATTACGTCACATTGCTCGAAACTCGCATGAGCAGGGAACACGTTATTGTTTGTGTCTTGGTGTCCGACAACTTTGCCTAGATAAGCGGAAGCCTTTGTCTCAAACAAAATTTTGGATACAGAAATACTATTCATATGAATGAAGGTTTCTTTGTGAGTTTGAATTTTATGACTATCTGTATGTTCTTGACCAGATATGGAGGGATGAAAGGTTAAGCTGGAACCCCAGTGACCACAACGGAACAGACTTTCTGGCTTTGAAAAAGACGGAGGTGTGGACGCCACCCCTTGTCGTGTCCAATGAGTAAGTAATGTTCAGGTTATAGCCACTCGTCCCCTTCAACCAACTGGGATATTTGATAAAGAACTTTTGATGTGGACACTTTTCCGCACTTGTGGCAGAATATGTACATGCAAAAGTAGCCATACATTATGTGTTACACTAATGCGTGAACGAAACTTTGCTTCTTTTGTCATTTTGCAAGGTGTCAGTCACAACGTAAAAATACCAATGTATTACTATTGCTTTCGGATGTAGATAAAATTTGAAAAAGGATGAACCTGAAGAGTCTTAAAATTTATTTCATGGTAACTTTACCATAATGTTTACGGGTGTTCATTTGTACAATATGTCTACATAAATCATTACGATATTTCAATGGTTCTTATGTTATCATGTGTAAACAACGTACAGGCAAGTAACATAGTAGACTAATGCGTAATTCCCATTCTCAGAATGAACAAAGTTGGGCCAATTGGACAAGAGGGAGTCCCGCTCCGAGTTTTCAGTGAAGGGACAATGTTGTGGATTCCTCCAACCAGACTGGAAACATCGTGTACCATCGACGTATCTAACTATCCATTTGATGTCCAATCTTGCATCATCAACATTACCGGTTGGACCTATGCAACTGATGAGCTGGACCTTCAGATAGACCCAGACAAACCCATAACCTTAGACCTCTACTCTCACCATGGAGAATGGGAACTAACTGACACCTCTGCTTCCCTGAACGACTTCGACGGGGGCTTCGACAAACAATACCGGGATATCCAGTACTCGCTCACTTTCCGACGTCGCTGGCAATACTATGGACTGACGCTTATGCTTCCTCTTATTCTGAGTTCGTTCCTAATGGCAGGAGTGTTTGCAGTGCCTGTTGAATCTGGGGAAAAGATCGGCTACTCTTTGACTGTTCTGTTGTCCTTCACTGTACTGCTTACGCTGATCTCGGACAGTCTTCCAGCCATATCTACAAGAACCTCAGCTCTGCGTAGGTATATAACACTTGTGTTTGCAACATCATGGTTCAAAGATATAGATGATTAGACATCACCATTACCTAGACAGTTAACAAACCACGATACAAGATCGATACTATTGTGCGTATGGATGTACCTTGGCCCCGATCCACAAAGCGTTCGTAACGTTACGACCTATTCGTAACTCAGTACTATACCATTGGCTACGCAGTGTTCGTAGCGTTACGACCTGCCGTATCTTGTATGGTTCATCATAGTATTACGAACGATGTCATGCTACGAATGATATGTGGAATGGGGTCCTTCTTATATTAAAGAACCGCATGCTGTAAACATCCATACCCTGGCTATCTAGAGAATCATCCTACTGCTATCTTGGCGAAAAGAGAGTAGTTTTCATTTACATTGGGCATTTTATTTGTAAAATACATGAAACAAAATCTAGTCTGAAATTGCATACCTTGCAATCTTTCGGATACTGCAGACAGTAAACGAAATAATTTTAGTCAAAGATGATGTGTTGCCCTGTTTTGCATACATCCTGCTAGCGGAGTAACGCTCACATATAAGCACACAATCACATTCATTTTCAATACAGACCTTCTTCTTTCCATACTTTATACTTATAGTCGTTCCGTGTATGGGACATTTGTGTATCTCCCAACATCAGTTGAAAGTTTAAAATATACTTGTTACAGGTTATTATAGTTTTCTGAAGAACCTTTCAATTGCTTATGCAGTTGACTCTTCGCAAAATACAACAGGGATGCCTATATTTATTCTTCAAAGTATCATTAGCTTATCTGACATTTTCAAAATGAGATACGGACAATATATTTTCATATTTCGAGCAACATGAAAACGAGAAATGGCGGTGCTTATCGTCCTCCAGATGAATGTGCATGAACGGGAGAATATCCCCGTTAGGGTAACAGTAATCCTTGAAGCTTAATTATTGCTGAAGAATAAACCATTGCATTTCTTTCAAAATATCCAGATACCGTTCATTGCCATCAACAGGCATGCGCCCTTCTACGTCAGGCAGGCATTGGTCAGATTCAACCAAAGTTGTAATACTCAAAACATACTGTTCATTTCAGAGATCTATCTGACGTTGTTGATGAACCTGGGCACACTGATCACGTTCCTCACGACCCTGGTGCTGTGGTTGTATTACCGGGGAGACACGAAACCCCTCTCTCATGGCACTCTACTCCTCTACAGACTCATGGCGAGATGTTCCAGTGTTAAACACAAGCGCCGACCCAGAACGGTTCGAGCTCAAGTGACCGTATCAGACTATAACGATATGTCAAGGTCAACGCGCTCCTTGAATACACCCAGAATCCAAACATGTTGTAATGACGTGTCGACGGCATGGAGTGACAAGGGAGGTAATCCTGTCGTCGATGTGGTCACCTGGCAAGATTTTGCGAAATGCCTTGATGCAGTGTTTCTTCGCGTATTTACCTTTATTTTTATTACTGTAACTGTTGTATTTCTGGGAATTATGTATGGGACTTACTATGTTTCCAGGTAGTCCTGTCCAGTTTCAGGGCGGTGGGGTAGCCTAGTGGTTAAAGCGTTCGCTCGTCACGCCGAAGACCCGGGTCCGATTCCCCACATGGGCACAATGTGTGAAGCCCATTTCTGGTGTCCCCGCCGTGATATTCCTGGAATATTGCTAAAAGCGGCATACAACCATACTCACTCACCCACTGTTCAGATTAGAATGATGATGCCACATAATGCATAAGAGTATGTGTTTGATTAACAGAACTAACGCGGGAAGGAGGAACACAATATATGAGTGGCAGTACAGCAGTGATGTATGTAGTGTTATACAATGGCTATGTTTACAGCAGATATTCCCCTGCAATTCTCGAACACTAAAATTATACTTATGGAAACGAATAAGGGAACACCATGAAAGTACGAGTGTTCCTGTAACAGAAAGAAAATACCTCCCACTAACAAACTACTGCTTCCTGATTGGCTGAGACTGTTGCACTTATCGTTTACTGTTGTCCTCTGTTGTTTTTGTATTACTGACTGACTGAGTTTTGGTTTTACGCCGCTTTTAGCAATATTCCAGCAACATCACGGCGGGGGACACCAGAAATGGGCTTCACACATTGTGCCCATGTGGGGATTCGAACCCGGGTCTTCGGCGTGACGAGCCAACGCTTTAACCATTAGGCTACCCCACTGCCCTGTTTTTGTATTAACGATTAAATAAGCAACCTATGAAGATATTAGTGTTAACTTTTGTATTTATCAGAATTTATTTCATTGTAGGTTTGCGTTATTGGAAGTGTAGCCGTTAAGCCATAAACATAGGAACAAAAGAAACACCAACACAATCACAAAATGCAAATTGTGCTCACCAATTTTAATGTTTATACCACACCAAATATTGAAGTCTATTCGTATCAGGCCTGTGCTGATACAAAGCCTAGCACGTAGCTTCTTTGTTAGCGCTTAGTTACACTGCGGAATGTAATTAATTATGCAAAATATTTGGCACTAGTCAGAAGGTGACACCCATTAGTCAGATACCCCAGTCGTCAGCCGCTTGAGTGAGGGTTGGAGAAGGCTCACCCCACAGTAACAATAGATCAGTCCTAATATCCGCTGTTCTTTAGGATCAAGTGACTAGCACAACACTGTGTTTGCTTTGAATAATAAGGACATAATAAGCTATATCTAGTTGGCTTATCTCTTGCACAGTAAGATCAAACTCCCATAGGTCAGCCTTGACTGTTAAAGTTTAATCCCTTGATTAAACCACACTATCCGTTACTTGATAAGCATCACTATCAACTATGCACAAGGAAAATCTTGATATTATGTGAGTTGATCGATTGATCAATGCAACTCACATAATATCAAGAGTCTCCTTGTGCATAGTTGGTAGTGTGGCTTAATTTTTATTGTGAGTAAACCAATAAAAAATTATAAAAGCAACTTGAGACTGACTTCTCAACTCAGGCCGGATGTATTTGGATGCTGTTGGAAAGCTTGTGAAGCTTAGCTGAATTTGACTTTGTAACTCCATACTGTGCTTGTAGTGCTAGGGAATATGACAATTTTACTTGTATGCATGTGACATTGTGAAAAAGTAACGAACATTATGACAATTACAAAAGATGCTATAAAAATGATAAAACTGGTCTAAAAAATCTCAGTTGCCTCCTTTAATTATGTCTGACTATGGGTAATAGTTGTATTAGTCCATTTCCCCAATCGGTAACACCCTTCCCAAATTTGTCAACCATGTAATTGTTTTTTTCAAGTGTCTAACTAATGGGGTTTCTGACTAATAACGGAACACCAGTCAGAATGCACCGAGTTCGTTTGACTCAAATTGCAGAATTTGCTGAACTGAATGCTAAGCATATCTCACTGTCTGCTATCAGACAAAAACTCTCTGCTGGAAGGTACGAGGGTCGATCAAAAAGTACGTAGCCTAACTATACTGAAAGCCATTAAAAATGCATTTTGACATTCATACTTTCTTTACTCACACTAATTTCAACATATATAAACCTAACTGGCAGATATGTTTTAAGTGAACATCTATGAATAATTTCATCTGAAAATGTCCAGTCAACAACAACATCAGTGACGCAACAACGACATCACACAATGGAGGTGTCACTTGCAGTCAATATTGTGTGTGTCCACCGTGCGCTGCAAGGCATGCTCGCAGTCCTTGGGGCATTGAAAGACACACATTTCTCAGGAACAGCTGTTGGATGGTCTGCAGCCTCTGATGGTCTGTGGTCTGATCATGACACCACCTCCAAAACGATCATGTTCAAGGACACAGTTTGGCGCAAGTCTTTCTCCTTTACGTCGATAAATCTGTTGACATCCATCTGCAAAGGATAAGTTAAACCTGGATTCATCTGAAAAAAAATAACATCTGGCCATGTCCTGTTGCAAAGATTGGCCCCATTTGCTGCCCATCGCTGCCTGGCAAGTCTGTGGCGATGCAATAAGGTTGGACCACGGTACGGGTGACGACACCGGATGTTGAAGGCAGCAAGGTGTCCTTGCACCTTTTGGGCGCTGAAATGACGTTGACTTGTCCCAATTGTCCTCCTTGCCTAATCATCAGCTGTTTGGAACCGATTTTGCAAGTGTGAAACTCGGATATTGCGGTTTTGTCGAGCTGTTATCACAGGTGGTGTACCAGGTCGCGGACGATCAGCAACACTTTCGGTACCCCGAAAAAAGTTGTCTGAGTCGACTTACAGTGGATGGTTGCACATTAAAGTGCCTGGCAATCATCACATCTGAAGCACCTTGGCTGACCTTACCGATAACCTGATTCCTTTCGTCTTGTGTCAAGTGTGGCATTTCTCACAGTGATTGAGTTCCACAATTCCTTGTGCTTTTACAGGGCCTGGGTGCAGGTAATGCATGTGCACAACGTGTTTCATGAATGTGGTTGTGTTTACGAGAAATGTCAAAGGTTCAGTTTTAAATATCAAAGTTCATGCGAGAGGAATGCTCCGGGACTCGAACTCGAAATGGGCCAGAATAACAGCCTTTTATCCCTACATCCTCTGTATCGCAGGAAAAAATCTTCAATTGAACTTTTGTAAGTTTCGGGACAACAAATACCAATTGCGTTTTTAATGGCTTTCAGTATATATTCTTGATGTCCAATGTTTGAAAAGCTTCAATTTTATTTTGAAGTCATCGTTCGCAAAGCCATATCCAAAATTTCACATGTGTGGGTGATGTGGTTAACTAGATATTTGTCATCACATCACATTGGGGTATAATATTTCTAACAAAATTGTAGAAAATGAAAAACGATTTGTCTTTTGGTACCTCTTGGATAATGGTATGCCCTCAGATAATGTCATATAGAATATGTTCAGTATAGTATTGGATAACTTCCTGTCATGATCAACAGTCAAAGATTTGGATTGCCTGATTTATATTTAGTCTGGGGCTATTTTTTAAGGACACCCCCATTTTAATCTTTCAAAACCATTGTGTCCAGATATTCAAGCTGGCACTGTTTACAATACATTGTGTGCTGACACTTGTGTGACCATTCAGTATTTAGTTTGAACACTTGGCATCATGAATGCATAAGTGAAAACATTAGAATAAGCTATGCCCTTATAATTACGTCATCTGAAAGGGGGGTGGGTAGTGTCTCCAAAACAAGCTCTTTCAGTCAACATGAAGGAGATGGGGGGATCACTTTAACGAGCGATTGCAATTTCAAATTGCTTTTTTTATGAACTTTAATATTTAAGTGTGATTCTAGGGGACTTCCATCAATCTCAAACACACAAAATATTTCTTGCATATTTTGTTACCTGAAGTTTTACATGCATTTATTGTAGACTTTGCGTTTTTTTAGGGTACCAAGATAAAAGATCAACCAAAATGGGGATTGTGAGACTGGAACATAGCAAAACCAAACTGCTTGAGCTTGACAGATAATATGTAGAAAAATAAAACATAAAAATAACTGCATTTGTATCGTTTTCTTGGTGATTCTGCATACTGTTCAAAAGCCCCTCGTATATACAACGGAGTTCTAATGTCTTTATTAATTAATTACTATTTATTACTATTTATTACTATTTATTACAAATTATTACTAATTATCATATTATGATAATGCTGTGTCAAGTAATTGGATTCAGGAACTTATTGAAGCTTAATCAAGTGTCCTGCTGCGTCAAGGAGCCGAATGGCTGTTCTTCGCCCCTCGTATAAACTGACAGATGTCAGGTATGAACCGCCTGCTGCTGTTAGGTACAAACCGACAGATATCAGATATGAACTGTCTGCTATAAGGTTTCGACCGCCTGCTATCAGGTATGAACCGTCTGCTATCAGATATGAACCGTCTGCATTCAGGTATGAACCGCCGACTACCAGGTATGAACTGTCTGCTATAAGGTATAAACTGCGAGAAAGGATGGAGACGGAACAGCACAGGTAAATGAATCAATGACTTTGTCGGGACTTGTGCACGTGCCCAGCGTACACCTGGCTGTTCCTCTCTTTGCAGTCCTCCCTCGTAACAAATAGTGAACTGTGTCAAAAATTAACTTTTCTTATTTTTAGGTCATAAATTCTGAAACAAAATCACAGAGTTGGTTAGATGTTATGATTATAATCAGTGTTTCATTGAGTATTCTATGTTTAGTTGTTTTCGAGTTAGACTGCAATTCATCGGTCCGATTTTGAGCCAAACGGACTATAGTCCTGACCCACTTCCTGGGTCAGGTGTATCTGGGTTGAACAAACACTGATATGTGACTGTATACGAGGTCACCGCACAAGTGGATGTCACCGTTAGAGGATCTTACACACAACACCACTATTTTGCAGGTAAAGTCAGAACTTCTAACTGTTCCGTGATTGGCAAGTGGACTCACAGTAAGTACATATGGGTCAGAGATCCCTTATATGGACATATATCAGATCAGGGCCACGAACCTGCGTAATTGACATGGCGAGCAAAACGATTAGTGTAATTAGTTTTCGTGATATAAATAATTCAGAGGTTTGCGCATCTTTGAGCATCCTTTCATTTTATGACAGGTGAATGTTTGCTTTACATGTAGACACGTAGTGGTACAGGTAGATGAAAGTGACACAGGCGACTAGATGTACCACTTGGGTGTTGCACGTGAGGTCACAAGGTGTACCCCAGAGGTGTTCCACGTCAGGTCACATAATGTTCCACATGTGTGTTCCACGTCAGGTCACAAGATGCACCTCATATGTTCCTCGTCAGGTCACTAGATGTTCCTCTTATGTGTTCAACTTCGGGTCACTAGATGTACCTCTTAAGTGTTCCAGGTCTTAAGTTTCCAACGTCAAGTCACTAGAACCACTTAAGTGGTCCACGTCAGGGTCACTAGATGTTCCTCTTATGTGTTCCACGTCAGGTCACAAGATGAACCACTTAAGTGTTCCACGTCAGGTCACTAGATGTACCTCTTATGTGTTCCACGTCAGGTCACTAGATGTACCTCTTAAGTGTTCCACGTCAGGTCACAAGATAAACCACTTAAGTGTTCCACGTCAGGTCACTAGATGTACCTCTTATGTGTTCCACGTCAGGTCACTAGATAAACCACTTATGTGTTCCACGTCAGGTCACTAGATGTACCTCTTATGTGTTCCACGTCAGGTCACTAGATGTACCTCTTAAGTGTTCCACGTCAGGTCACAAGATAAACCACTTAAGTGGTCCACGTCAGGTGCCTAGATGTACCTCTTAAGTGTTCCACGTCAGGTGACTAAATGAACCTCTTATGTGTTCCACGTCAGGTCACAAGATGTACATCTTATGTGTTCCACGTCAGGTCACTAGATGTACCTCTTATGTGTCCCACGTCAGGTCACTAGATGTACCTCTTATGTGTTCCACGTCAGGTCACTAGATGTACCTCTTAAGTGTTCCACGTCAGGTCACTAGATGTACCTCTTAAGTGTTCCAGGTCAGGTAACAAGATAAACCACTTAAGTGGTCCACGTCAGGTGACTAGATGTTCCTCTTATGTGTTCCACGTCAGGTCACAAGATAAACCACTTAAGTGGTCCACGTCAGGTGACTAGATGTACCTCTTATGTGTTCCACGTCAGGTCACTAGATGTACCTCTTAAGTGTTCCAGGTCAGGTAACAAGATAAACCACTTAAGTGGTCCACGTCAGGTGACTAGATGTTCCTCTTATGTGTTCCACGTCAGGTCACAAGATAAACCACTTAAGTGGTCCACGTCAGGTCACTAGATGTACCTCTTATGTGTTCCACGTCAGGTCACTAGATGTACCTCTTAAGTGTTCCACGTCAGGTCACAAGATAAACCACTTAAGTGGTCCACGTCAGGTGACTAGATGTTCCTCTTATGTGTTCCACGTCAGGTCACAAGATAAACCACTTAAGTGGTCCACGTCAGGTCACTAGATGTACCTCTTATGTGTTCCACGTCAGGTCACTAGATGTACCTCTTAAGTGTTCCACGTCAGGTCACAAGATAAACCACTTAAGTGGTCCACGTCAGGTGCCTAGATGTACCTCTTAAGTGTTCCACGTCAGGTGACTAAATGAACCTCTTATGTGTTCCACGTCAGGTCACAAGATGTACATCTTATGTGTCCCACGTCAGGTCACTAGATGTACCACTTATGTGTCCCACGTCAGGTCACTAGATGTACCTCGTGTGTTCCACGTCAGGTCACTAGATGTACCTCTTAAGTGTTCCACGTCAGGTCACTAGATGTACCACTTAAGTGTTCTTTGTCAGGTCACTAGATGTACCTCTTATGTGTCCCACGTCTGGTAACTAGATGTACCTCTTATGTGTTCAACGTCAGGTCACCAGATGTACCTCTTATATGTTCCACGTCAGCTCACTAGATGTGCTTCTTAAGTGTTCCACGTCAGGTCACTAGATCTACCAATTAAAATGTTCTGCTCCGGGTACATGTCAGGTCACTAGATGTACCTTTGAATTGTTCCACGTCAGGTCACTAGATGTACCTTCTTAAGTGTTCCACGTCAGGTCACTAGATGTACCACTAATGTGTTTCTCGTCAGGTCACTAGATGTACCTCGTGTGTTCGAGATCTACCCATTATAGTGTTCCGCTCCGGGTCCACGTCAGGTGCCTAGATGTACCAGAAGATGTGTCACGACGCATGATAAACGTTTAAAATCGTCAAGCCGAAATCAGGCCATCAATTTCTACATGTGTGTGAAGCTAATTTTGATATAACATTTACCAAGGGCGCTGGTTAATTCTCTGTTTTGGATAATATGTGTGAACGTAGATCTCACGGTATTAATATAATGAAGTGTGCTGATGTCATCTTCCCCCATGCTGACATCTTATCACACTGTGCATAATTCCATGTCAGTATTCTTGCTATTCTTTAATATACATGTATATTGCAGGCAGGATGAGCAACTATACTATTCGACTCGCAACTCAGGGGGACTATGAAAGTGTTTTAGCGATTGGTGAAGTGTACAACGGCGTGGATTATCTCCCTTGTAAATATGCTGAGTTCTTGGAAGATGACAACTACTTGAACTTTATATGTATCGTAGATGGAGAAGTGGTAAGAAAATAACCTGTTTATCTGGAAATGACACTTAATATTGCCTCGTAATTTGGACTACTATTTGGGGCAAAATCAAGAAACGAATATCAGCCCTAAGCGTCCCTAAGGTTGGTTTAGCTGATAGTAACATTTGAAACTAGCATTTCATAATCTATCTGAGCTATGCGTTGGAAAATATGTCCTGGATACCAGGAAGAGATGTCCCCGATGTGATGTTGCTGGAATATTGCTAAAAGCGAGGTAAAATCATACTACCGTAAAAGCAAATACTGAGTATGACTTTCTCCACTTTTAGCATTATTCCAGCAACATTACAGTGGGTGATTCAAGAAACAGACAGACTTCACACATTGCACTCCTGTAAGGGATGGAACCCAGATCTTTGCGTGAAGAGCGAATGATTGAACCAGTAGGCTACCCTACCGTCCCATAATATCTAATGGCTGTACATGGAAGTAAGATGGGTGAGTGATTTTAAAGGCCTGTAAGTCTTGCTAGATGTTTCACACTGCACCCAGCTATATTCTTGCTGTACAACTGCGTACTGTAAATAATCTAATCTGCACCTGGCAGGCTAGAGGTTGACATCATGACCACACGGTACGTTGGCATGCACCAACCATGTTCAGTTTCTTTTACAACGCCGCTTTTGTATGGTGTGTGGGTGTATGAAATGTCGTATCATTCTGTAGTATCATTCATACATTGAATAAATACATAAATCAATAATAAATGAATGAATGATCTGTAGTATCATTCATACATTGAATAAAAATAATCAATAATAAATGAATGAATGATAGAATGAATAATAATAAATAAATAAATAAATAAATGAATAAATAAATAAATAAATAAATAAATAAATAAATAAATAAATTACATTTCGTAGCTGGTGTAACTGCTTGAGAAATTATCTCTGTGTAATTAGAGCAATTACTTACTGCCAGACTGATAAAAACAGCAGTTACTCAAGCCAACAAAAGGGCTGACAAATTTCCGGCAAACAGTATCCCTTTGCTACTCCTCAGATTGGTTTCCTGTGTGGAGCTTTGATTGACAACCGGGAAGCATTTGTTCTGAGGGCTGGGAGGGTCAAGGAGGCCTATCAGGGTCAAGGTTATTACAGAGCCCTGAGGAGCCATGTATACCAAACAATGTCGAGGATCAAATCAGTGAAACAAGAAAAGGTGGTTGTGTTCAACAAGATAGCTCAGAAGCTGCAACAACCAGATAGTGGATTTGAACATATAGCTATGCAGGTAATTAAGACGTTCATTTTCTTCCATTCCATAAATCATAAATACAATTTATAATCCAATTTGACCCCATTAATATGTGTAGTATTCATGTCAACTGGTCAATGTTCATTCACAAATACAATGCCATGCATGCAAGTAATACGTACTGCTTCAATGTATTTCAGAAGGTTTATACGTATGAGATACCAGAAGGTTTTGTTGAAGGGACATCATCTGACCTACAGCCTTTGACCCAGGAAGAGCTTCAGCGCCTGCTGTCTGACCCGGAAACACGTGACTTCCTGTTTCCGGAAGGGATCCTGTATGTACACCGCGTGCCCTACAAACTAATCGAGGGCAACTTCCCAAGTATTTTTAACAAAAGAACTGTCCTGTTTGGCACTCCAGCCTGTAGCTCCCAATATAAGCTGGTGACGTCTGGACATTATTTCAATGTTAAGATAGGCTTTCGTTATATTTTAGACATATACGGATCGTCGTCTAAAGAATTCGAGGATCATTTTAAGTCTCATTTGGCATTCATTCGGGAATTGAACAAAGGAAAGACAGCTATAACTATCTTTACCCCTCCAACATTCCCTGTTGATGTACTTGACGATATCCTGAAACGTGTCGGGGCTGTTTACCTGGAGTCATTTCTCTCAGAGGAGCATTCCTTCAGAAGATGTGTTTCAGAATGACTTCAGTGAAAATGTTTCTCATTGTGTAATTGTGCATATGATATGGCCGAAATTTCTTAAAGCATCTTGTTCACAATCTTACCGGTGTCGATTCTTGAAGAAAAACTGTGTGTGTCTTTTGTTTGCATTTTAAAGTGATATTTAGGTTGTAAGACCCTGCCTATAAATAATCGTGCCAGGACAACGAAATCCAGTGAGCGATGGCGTGAGCAAAGAAAGATCAACGCCGTCGGGAACTTTACCTGGACACATGAGAATATAATATGATATCCCTGCCATAGTAATCTTTGAGTGGTCAAATGCCACTATTTTACAGGATATGTTCGTGGTGTAAAGCCTTGACTAAGAATAATAATAATAATAAATGAGAATGTAGTATATTTATGCTATGTTATAGTGTAGTATTTTACAACCTCTTTTTCCAATGCCGATCCGTTGTTGTGGAGTATGCATCTGAATTCAACTCATTTCAATAGTATAATTCGCATAGGTACGACTGAAAAGGAACAATAGTATGGACATATTATCTGCTAAAAGTACCTACAAGCTGCCAATGGGGGAGACTTGTTGCCACTTGGTTGTTCGGAAAATTTCTCATCGTCACTTAGACGTACCTGAATTTAAGTTTCAACATTATTCCCCTTCTAGTACACTGCTGCTATCACGTGATCGTTCAAGACCAAATGGGTTTCAGCTCCGAACAAAGACATGTCATAAGCTTTGCCTTTGGTCAGCGAGCCTGACCACCCGATCTCGTTAGTCGCCTCTGGCTGAGGACCAATTAAAAGATATTTGTAATGGCCTCTCAAGGAAAACCATACCCTGGTTTTTCATTGTTTTTACAAAACACTCCATGAAGTCTTCGTTTGGTAAATATATGGAAAAGACTTTCAACAAAAGCCTCATTCTCAGAATGATTTCAAACGTTGTAGACAACCTGTCTGTAGCCGATATTATTCATTATAGTTTCATAATGAAAAGAATAGAAATGCAAATATTCCTCTATTTGTTAAGTGCTGATGTCGAAGAATCTTGTTAAATATATAAATACCACATATTGAATCTGGTAAATGATAAATATTAATCCATTTACAATTTGTTAGGACGCTATATGTACGAAAGATTAATTTCATGATCAGCCAAAGTTGTCACAGTATATACTTATCTTAAGAAATCGAAGAATTATGCACACATCATGGTAAAGGATAATGCATAATTGATGCATGATCTTTTCACAGCTAGTGAGCATTTCACTGCAAATAGAATCTGTTGCCGAGGATAGTAAAGACAGGTTCTTCGTTTACATTGATGTTTCATATTAATTTACAAAATTGTACTATCCATTAAGCATTTAAAGATTCATTTGTTTAAAATTAATAATGACAATTTCTAAGTCTTCCTTGCTCCCGGCTGCTATGATATTTCCTGCATGGCACTTTCCTTATATCAAAAGCAGATGGCTGATTTCAAGGGGTAAGTAATCCCCCCCTCCCTCCCACTCAATAAACATATTAGTAGTCATATCACACCTGAAACTACATATGCAGAGACCTAATGTCAATGTAATTTGAGGAAATATACAGAAAGTGAAAGGAACCCTATTAAATGTAATGTTAACTATACAATCATATTCAGAAATATACAGAAAGTGAAAGGAACCCTATTAAATTTAATGTTAACTATATAATCATATTCAGAAATATACATTTGGAAATATAAGATGGATGCCAAACATTTTGCTTTGTCTTTTTCAACAAATAGTTTTAACAATGAGATTGAATCCCCGATCATAGGTTTCGACCATGCTCATGGGGACGAAACTCTACACACCGAATCAGGGAGCCATGGAGGACTGGGCGCCTCGTGCCACAGTGTAAACTGGAACTAATTTTACGACAAAGTTCTCTCAAACACTGGCATCGGGCTGCGGTGTGGTCTTTTCTTAAATTTTGGATTACTAGCGACTTTCGAGACAGCAAATATACTGCGTGAATTCGAATGGTCTGCCCAGAAACGTAAATCCATACCGAACGGGTTGGCCTTTTAATGATCTGTTTGTCCTCGATTCCGTAATGAGCAGACCTCTCCCTGGAACGTGTGTGATGAGCGTTGAGATAGGGTTGGTCGTGTGTCAGTTTGTGTGAGTGTGTTTGCTTGTGTCGCTGAGGTTGGCTGCGTTCTGAATTATGCACTTTCAATCCAAGTCTGAACATCCTAAAAATGTCCATTTGTAAACGACTGTCGCCTGATACTCCTGGTGCACACGTATCAATGTTTCAATATCCCTTGAAACCATTACTGATAATGCATATAGGGGTTTTCAAAATATGACAAAATAGCAAGAAAAAACATTTCATACATTTGAATATATATATATATATACATTAAATATATATATCTATTTCCATTTTCATGTTACAATTTCCATTACAGTAGTTTCATGTTTCCCAATTGAAAGTATTTTAAGTGAACAGTGAACAGTGAAAAGTGTTGATACCTAGTGTGTACATTACCTCGTACACACACATACAAAGTACATATACAGTCAGTTATAGCATTTCTAAAAAGTAAATGGAAGGAAGAACAGAAAGAATGAATACTTGCATAGTTACAATTAGAAAACGCAATGAAATTTGAAACATCATCAAATTAGGTTTCACCACTTTCTTATTACATTTACACAACATATATTTAATTATTATTATCACTACAGTAAGTTGATTATTATGTTTACCTTTAAAGCCAAATAAAATATGTTCTTCACTTAAATGAATTTTACTTTCTATGAATTTTACTTTTTATGTATGCTTCAATCCATTCAGTAAATTGTGCCAAATATCTATTGCAGATTGACAATTACGAAACACATGTGTAAAAGTTTCAGCTGAATCATTATTCCGCAATGAACATGCTGATGATTTAGCCAATATTATATAGCCAGTGTTATATAAAAAACATAGCCACTTTTATATAACCAGTGTTATATAAAAAACATAGCCAATGTTATATAGCCAGTGTTATATAAAAAACATAGCCAATGTTATATGCCCAGTGTTATATACAAAAACATAGCCAATGTTATATAGCCAGTGTTATATAAAAACATAGCAAATATTATATAGCCAGTGTTATATAAAAACATAGCCAGTGTTATATAAAAACATAGCCAATATTATATAGCCAGTGTTGTATACAAGACATAGCCAATATTACATAGCCAGTGTTATATAAAAACATAGCCTATATTATATAGCCAGTGTTATATAAAAACATAGCCAGCATTATATAGCCAGTGTTATATGAAAACATAGCCAGTGTTATATAAAAACCCAGCCAATATTATATAGCCAGTGTTGTATACAAGACATAACCAATATTACATAGCCAGGGTTATATAAAAACATAGCAAGTATTATATAGCCAGTGTTATATAAAAACATAGCCAGTATTATATATCCAGTGTTTTTAAAAAAACATAGCCAATATTATATAGCCAGTGTTATATAAAAACATAGCCAATATTATATAACCAGTGTTATATAAAAGCATAGCCAGTATTATATATCCAGTGTTTTTTAAAAAACATAGCCAATATTATATAGCTAGTGGTATATAAAAAACCCAGCCAATATTATATAGCCAGTGTTATATAAAAAAACATAGCCAATATTATATAGCCAGTGTTATATAAAAACATAGCCAATATTATATAGCCAGTGTTATATAAAAACATAGCCAGTATTATATATCCAGTGTTTTTTTAAAAACATAGCCAATATTATATAGCCAGTGTTATATAAAAACATAGCCAATATTATATAGCCAGTGTTATTTAAAAACATAGCCAATATTATATAGCCTGTGTTGTATAAATGACATAGCCAATATTATATAGCCAGTGTTATAAAAAAACATAGCCAAGGTTACATACCCAGTGTTATAGAAAAACATAGCCAATATTATATAGACAGTGTTATAAAGAAACATAGCCAATATTATATATCCAGTGGTTTTAGAAAACATAGCCAATATTATATAGCCAGTGTTATATAAAAACATAGCCAGTATTATATATCCAGTGTTTATAAAAAGGATAGCCAATATTATATAGCCAGTGTTATATAAAGAAACATAGCCAATATTATATATCAAGTGTTTTTAAAAAGCATAGCCAATATTAAATAGCCAGTGTTATATAAAAAACATAGCCAATATTATATAGCCAATGTTATATAAAAAGCATAGCCAATATTACATAGCCAGTGTTATATAAAAAACATAGCCGATATTATATAGCCAATGTTATATAAAAAGCGTAGCCAATATTACAAAGCCAGGGTTATATAAAAAACATAGCCGATATTATGTAGTCAGTGTTTCAAAAAAGCATAGCCAATATTATATATCCAGTGTTATATATAAACATAGCCACTTTTATAATACCAGTGCTATATAAAAAAATAACCCGTATTATATAGCCAGTGTTATATAAAAACATAGTCAGTTTTATATTGCCAGTGTTATATATAAACATAGCCAATATTATATAGCCAGTGTTATATATAAACATTGCCACTTTTATAATACCAGTGCTATATAAAAACATAACCCGTATTATATAGACAGTGTTATATAAAAACATAGCCAGTATTATATAGCCAGTGTTATATAAAAACATAGCCAGTGTTATATAAAAGCATAGCCAGTATTATATATCCAGTGTTTTTAAAAAAACATAGCCAATATTATATAGCCAGTGTTATATAAAAACATAGCCAATATTATATAGCCAGTGTTATATAAAAACATAGCCAGTATTATATATCCAGTGTTTTTTTTAAAACATAGCCAATATTATATAGCCAGTGTAATATAAAAACATAGCCAATATTATATAGCCAGTGTTATATAAAAACATAGCCAGTATTATATATCCAGTGTTTTTTAAAAAACATAGCCAATATGACACAGCCAGTGGTATATAAAAAACCCAGCCAATATTATATATCCAGTGTTATATAAAAACATAGCCAATATTATATAGCCAGTGTTGTATAAAAGACAAAGCTAATATTATATAGCAAGTGTTATATAAAAACATAGCCAGTGTTATATAAAAATATAGCCAATATTATATAGCCAGTGTTGTATAAAAGACATAGCCAATATTATAAAGCCAGTGCTATAAAAAACATTGCCAATGTTATAAACCCAGTGTTATATAAAAACACAGCCAATTTTATATAGCCAGTGTTATAAAAACACTTAGCCAGTATTATATATCTAGTGTTTTGAAAAAGCATAGCCAATATTATATAGCCAGTTTTATA